TATGGGTCGCTTCATTTTCAAGAAGGATTTTACGGGCATTCTGGCAGTTTCTGAAGTCTGCACCGAGCCAGGTCTGCACTGCACATGTGCAGTGACATCCTCACATCCTCACACAGTGCTGGGCATGTGATGTGATGCAGAGCTTGCCTGCTCTTTTCCCGGTCCATCCTCAACAGCTTGAGGACTTTATGTGAGGTGGAGATTCTGGGGTTCTTAAACACTGTTGGAGCATCCAGCCTCAGCCCCAGTAGATGCCACGCTGTTCTTTTTATTCTAGATTTGATCTTTCATCTACTTGGCCCTTCACCACTCTATTTTTTTAATCTTTAAAAAAAAATTACATTGTGTGTGTGTGTGTGTGTGTGTGTGTGTGTGTGTGTGTGTGCAAGCACCCATCTAGAAGTCAGAGGACAGTTTGCTGGACTTGGTCCTCTTCCACCACATGGTTCTGGGGGATCAAACTCAGATGGTCAGGCCTAGCCGCAAGTGCCTTTACCTACTGAGTATCTCACTAGTCCTCACTCTTATTTTCTAGAAGCTACAAAGGAAATGAAATGTTCAGCAGACAAGGTTGACCATGAAGGGCTCTTTGTCCTGTAGCAAAATCTGATCATACGGTATTAGTTACCATTCTTGCTGGGAACAAACACGTGGCAGAAGCAGCTTAAGGAAGGAAGACAGCCCATCATGACAGGGAAGGCATGATGGCAGGGGCAGAAGGTATTTTGTCTCACAACATCCACAGTTGGGAATTACAGAGAAACAAACGCTGGTGTTCACTTGCTTTCTCCTTTTTATGAAGCACAGGACCCCAGCCTGTAGATAGTCAGCGCTGCCCTCCTTCGGGGACCCTCCCACCTCAGTTTGACTTAGGTAGAAACACCCAGAGATGTTTCCATGGTGACTCTACATGCTGTTAAGTTGACCATAAAGATTCACCATCCCAGATGGCCACCCTTAAGCCGGTGTGGAGCATGCCTCTTGGTGAAGCACCAGTAGCACCGGGCCTAAGCTAGAGCACCGCCGCTTTGATCAGTGTCGGGGTCAGGTGGAGGGAACTGTGGAACAGGTGTGATCATTCTGGACCTCGGGCTGTGGTCCCTGTCAGAATAGCCCATCCCGGGTAGTTTCAGTAAGCCACAGACGTCACCCTTGATGCTTGTGTTTGTGTGCGTGTCCTTGTCCATGCATGTCATCACATATGTGTGGTGACCAGAAGGCACCTACAGGTAAAAGCCTACAGATGTTGCTTGTATCCTACAACATGGATCAAATTCAGGCTTGGTGGCAGGCGCCTTTTAGCTACTGAGCCATTCTGGTAGCCTACTTAAATAAAAGGAATCTATTCACTAGGTGATCATTCTAAGACTGGGAGCAGTGTATTCTTTGAGGGTGACGGAACCGTTTTTAAAATGTAATTCTCCCCTTTCTCTGTTTCTTGTCTAGTAATACATTTTCATGACAAAAACATTGAGACATTAAGGAAAAAAAGCAATCATAGGCTCAGAACCATGTTTTGTTATGTGGTTTTGTCAGCTTGTGCACACACATATGTTTACACCAATAATTTCGGCATTGAGACCAAAATGACAATGGGTTTTTTTTTTTTATGTTCCTTAATTTTCTTTTTTCTTTTTTTTTGTTTGTTTTTGTTTTTCGAGACAGGGTTTCTCTGTGGTTTTGGAGCCTGTCCTGGAACTAGCTCTTGTAGACCAGGCTGGTCTCGAACTCACAGAGATCCGCCTGCCTCTGCCTCCCGAGTTCTGGGATTAAAGGCGTGCGCCACCACCGCCCGGCCCTTAATTTTCTTCAAGTGGTTTCTGTTTGTTACCTTGTCTGATTTTTGAGAGAGGATCTCATTCAGCCAAGGCTGTCCTCCAACTCCCTACATGGCCAAGACTGGCTTTGAATTCCTAACCCACTTGCCTCTGCCTCCCAAGTACTGGGATCACAGGCTTGTGCCACCACATCTGGCTCTGCCATTTCCCTGCAGCTGCTGTGGAAACACTGAGCGCTTCCTTCGTGGTGTACATTGCAGAATGCACTCACAGGACTTGCTGCATTTTCATAGGACACTTGCAGGTCGTTACTTTCAGCAGTAAATTGCTGGACTTGTAGACAGGCTGCAGTTCATCAGGGGGAAAACATCAAACCTCAACTTTGTACCATTTTATGTGCTGTAATAAAGATTTTTGTAGCCAGGCACTGGTGGTGCATGTCTTTAATTCCAGCACTGGGAGGCAGAAGCAGTTGGAGCTTGAAGTTCGAGGCCAGCCTGATCTATAGAGTGGGTTCCAGGACAGCCAAGGCTACATAGAGAAACCCTGTCTCAAAAATAAAGACGAAATTACAGAGAAGTAATTTTTTTATAATGGCATAACAGACTTGGAAGCCTGGAAATGTGTGCTTACAGTGAAGATGTTATGGTCAGTGTGGGCCAGCTAGATGGCTCAGTGGGTAGAGGTGCTTGCTAGCGAAGCTTGGTGGCCTAGGTTTCATGCCCAAGATGCACATGGTAGAGTCATGCAGGTCTCTGGAGAACCAACTTCCAGAAGTTGTCCTCTGATCTCCATATGCAGAGTGGCATGCTCCAACCACTAAATTAATAAACGTAAGCTGTTAAAAAGGGCCAGATGATTGTATAACCTGGGACCATGACAAATGCAATCTTTTGGGTTTTTTGTTTTGTTTTGCTTTTGTGTGGGTTGGTTTATTTGGGTTATTTTTGTTTTGATTTAGCTTCTGTCTATTTAGCACTAGCTGGCCTCAAACTTTCTTGATGGGGAGGGACATGATCTCTCTACACAGCTCTGACTATCTCACTCTGTAGACTAGACGGGCCTCAAAAATCACAGAGATCCGCCTACCTATGCTTCCCAAGTGCTGGGATTAAAGGCATGTGCCAGGTCCCAACTCTAACCCATGATTCTGTATTAGTTCCTTTTCACTGCTGTGACGGCGTACCTAACCGAAGCAACTGAAGAAAGTAGGGCTTTACGTGGCTTACAGTCCAAGGATACAGCCAGTCAAGCCAGGAAAGACACGGTGGTAGGAGTGTGAAGCCATCGGGCGCACTGCATCTGCAGTGGAGAAGCGGAGGGAGGTGGATGCTAGTGCTCAGCTCGCTTTCTCCTTTCATTCAGCCCAGAATCTCCAAATACCGGATGACTCTTGCCCAGAGTGATGGTGGTTCTTTTTAAACCTACTCTAGAGACTCCTTCACAGACGCGCCAAGAGGTTTGTCCACGGCGGTTCTAGATCCTGTGGACTTGGCAATCAAGGTTAACCATCATGGGTACCCTGGGCAGCCTCCCCAGTTTTTAATATGATTTGCTTCAAGTACTGAACAGCTCCTGGTGAAGCTCTAAGTATGAAATACAAAGGTCAAGTGTGATGTCTCATTGTAGCACTTAGGAGCCTGAGGCAAGGGGATGACTGAGTTTGAGGTCAGCAAAGGGCTACGAAGAGATATGATATTAAAAAACACAAAACAAAACAAAAAAAATGTGTAGTGGGGTGGTGATAGGGGCATGACACAAAACACAGTGATACCATTTCCAGAAATTCTATGTAAATAAAACTATGCCAAACAGAGGCCAGTTCTGGGTCTTAGCAGCTATGCCATGTCCAGTGAGGACTAGAAAGCTAACAGGCAGTGTGCTGCCTTGCTCCTCCCATCGTTGTAAATCCGATTGATTGAACCACCGGTAATGGGGGCCCAAAGATGGTCACTCAGTGGTTAGGAACCTGAGGCCCAGAGTTCAGTTCCCAAGCAACCATTATCGGGAGGCTCGCTCACAATAGCCTGCTAGTCCAGCTTGCAGAGATGTGTGACAAATCCCTTCTGGCTTCTGTAGGCACCTGTGCTCATACAGGCACACATATATACACCTAAATAAAAATAAATTCGGTTTTAAAAGAGCCAGTAATGCTACAGCCTAGTAGCACAGTACACATTTCTAAACCCCCCTCCTAGAAGGTGGCTTCGTCTAATGAGAACTGCTTCTTAGATATTTGATTCCAACCCCCTCTTCTCTCTCTCCTCTCTGTCTCTGTCTCTCATTTTGTTTATTTGTAGTTTTTTACATTTTCAAAATATTTAGGGTACATAACCAAAAATTTAAAGGCCCCGTAATTTCCTCTAACAAGAAAATTCCAAAGGATTACATGATACTTGTTACTGTAAAAAGGATCCTTGTTTTTATTTTCTGTCTTTGGATCTTTTGGTTTCTGCTTGGGATTGACCCCGGGGCCTTGTCCCTGCGAGGTGAGCGAGCATTCACGGAGCCCTGCCGCAGTGCAGCTAGCCTGTAGAACAGGTTCTAGATGGTGACAGAGTTTCGATCACAAGACTTCCCGTTACCGAATGGCCCAATGACTAGATGACCACTTCTTTCCCTCAAGCCTCACACTGGGTTGTTCTGTTTGTTTGGTTTGAGTGTACTGCGGATGGAACTTCGTGCACCCTAAGCTATACCCTTAGCCCCTCGATAGGGCTTCCAAGGCAGGTGCTCTCTATTGAGCAACATTCCGGCCCCTAGCCGGGTGAGGTGGCATTCTAGCCAAGGGGGTGTACCCCTGAGTCACTTCTTAGCCTTCACTGGAGACAATATTGGCATTGATTTCCTCTCCAGACACATACAGAAGTACTTACTCACATGGTATCTTTCTTCTATTTTCTTTATCTATTTGTGTTACTTATCTTTTTAGGATTTTTTTCATTTTTATGTATTTTTTATACACATCTGGTTGCTTTCCACGCATGTATGTCTGTGCCCCACATTTGTGCCTGGTGCCTCCAGAGATTAGACAAGGGGTTTGGATCCCAGGCAGCTGAAGTTACTAACAGTGTACATTACCAAAAACTATGGGAATCGGGGTGCTCGGTGGAAGATGTGGAGTCTTGTTGAGAATGTTTCATCCTTTTAAAGATTGCTTGTCCTCTGTCCCTTGGTCTCTTTCACAGTCCCCCGTTTTTGTCTATTCTCTCTCCCGTTCAGATCCAGAGTTAGGTGTTGGACCACTGCCCGAACACGACAACCAAGATGCAGGGCCAATTGTCCCCAAGATCTCGGGTCTAGAGAGAAGCCAGGAGAAGAGCCAGGACTGTTGCAAAGAGCCCGTCTTTGAACCCGTGGTGCTCAAAGACTCTCACCCTCAGCTCCCCCAGCTACCGTCGCAGCCTCAGGCGGAACTCCAGCTCCAGATTCCATCTCCAGACCCCGACTTGGTCCAGCACACGGAGGCTCCGCCCCAGTTTCCTCCTCCAAGTACACAGCCAGCCCAAGGCCCCCCAGAAGCCCAGCTGCAGCCTGCCCCACAGCCTCAGGTGCAGCGGCCGCCCAGGCCGCAGTCCCCCAGCCATCTGCTCCCGCAGGCTCTTCCGCCTGTGCAGTCCCATCCCTCTTCCCAGAACCTCTCCCAGAGCCTCTCTCAGCCACTGTCGGCCTACAACAGCAGTAGCCTGAGCCTCAACAGCTTAAGGTGAGTGACCCTAATCTTTCTGGGACAGGGGTCGCCGGGCAGGAGCTTGGAGACGTTAGGATTGTGTGTTTGCAGCTGGTCCCAGTTTTCAATCAGTGGGTCTCTTGGGTTGGGTGTTAAGGACATTGGTAGGGTGTGAGGGTGGGGTAAAATTACTTCAGGAACTTGAGGTAATATAGGAAGGAGGAGAAGGTGACTTCAGACAAAAAAGGTAGAAGGACCCAGGCATAGCGGTATGTGCCTTTAATCCCAGCACTCGGGAGGCAGAGGCAGGTGGATTGCTTTGAGTCTGAGGCCAACCTGGTTTACAGAGTGAGTTCTAGGACAGCCAGGGTTATACAGAGAAACCCTGTCTCGAAACAAACAAATGGGCAGAAATTGGAGGTTGTACCAGGACAGCTATGTGGATGGCAGGGTTGAGGGCAGGCAGGCAAGCTGAGGCACACCTGAAGATTTTTCACCAAGAGAGTCTGAGGAGGCCTGAGAAGGCCGGCCCAGGCCTCAGGTGGAGCGCACATTTTAAGAAAGCCATGCTGGTATTTCCAGAGGCCTAGGACCCTCAGAGTTAGGGTTTCTTTTCTTAGGTTCTTTCTCCTGCTGTGGGTCACTCAGCTCTATTGAGAGAAAATCTCTGCTGGAGAGCCCAGTTCCTTCTGACTCTCGGGCCTCACCAAGGGAAGTTGACAGAGTTGCTCAAATAAGTCTACAAAGAAGAGGGAGAGATCAGCCTGCAGGGTCCCAATTCTAGGTCCACCACTGTCCCCAGGCTCCATCTTCGTCACTGTGTAACTTTGATGGTTTAGGGACTCGTTTGTTGTGCTGCTTGCGCAGGGTCAGGTCCACCTCACGGTCCTCTGAACCACAAGAGTGGTGTGAGCTGCTTCTCTTATTACTCTTGATAAAATACTTGACAGAAGCAATTTAAAGAAGGAAGGGTTTCTTTTGGCTCTCAGTTTGAGGGTCCAGTCTGTCGTGGCAGAGAAGGCACAGCAGCAGGAGCGTGAGGCAGCTGGTCACGTGACATCCACAGTCCAAGCAGTGAGAGATGGGTGCTGGTGCTCAGGCCGATTTTTCCTTTTTGGCCAGTCCAGGACCACATTCCATGAGATGGTGCTGCCCACTGTCAGGGTGGGTCTTCCCAACTCGGCTAACCTAATCTGGGTAAAGTCTCACCTATATGCCCAGATGGTTGATTACGTCACAGGACATGAAGCCCAACCTAGCCCGACCCCTCACTTGTGCTGCCAAGGTGACAGTGTCAGGAGGGCAGGACTCAGAAAGTCACTTTATTCTATTTTCTTAGCTCAGCTGCTAGTGTGAAATTTTTGCAGCAGAGAAAAGAGGGGTCCTGACACTGAGGCAGGAGGAGCCATGTGAGCAGGGTATGGAGGTGCATCCAGAAATAGAGCAGTAGCTCTTGGCTTCTGTATCCAGTAGCCAGGGTGGTGCACAGCTGTCCGTGCTTCACAGGGATGCTGGGTCCTGGCTTCTGTATCCGGTAGCCAGGGTGGTGCACAGCTGTCCGTGGTTCACAGGGCTGCTGGGTCCTGGCTTCTGTATCCGGTAGCCAGGGTGGGGCACAGCTGTCTGTGGTTCACAGGGATGCTGGGTCCTGGCTTCTGTATGTGGTAGCCAGGGTGGTGCACAGCTGTCTGTGGTTCACAGGGATGCTGGGTCCTGGCTTCTGTATCCGGTAGCCAGGGTGGTGCACAGCTGTCCGTGGTTCACAGGGCTGCTGGGTCCTAGCTTCGGTATCTAGTAGCCAGGGTGGTACACAGCTGTTTGGGTCCTGGCTTCGGTATCCATTAGCCATGGTGGCACAGTTATCTGTGGTTCACAGGGCTTCTGGGTGCCAGGGAACATGGATGAAGAGGAAGGGGTCAGGCAGGCATATGGAATGGCTATAGGCAGGAATTTAGAATTTTTAAAATTGCATTTATATATTTATTTATATGTGTGTATTTGTATGTGTGGGCACATACATGCCAGGTATGGAGGTCAAAGGGTATCTTGTAAAATTAAGTTCTTTCTTTCCATCATGTGGGTCTCAGAGATTGGAAGTAAAACTGCTGACAAGAGCCTTTACCCACTGAGCTGTCTCTCTAGCCCAGCAAGGACTTCCTTCCTCCCTCCCTTCCTCCCTTCTTCCTTCCCTCCCTCTATCCTTCCTTACTTCCTTCCTTGAAAAGTAAAGCTGGGGCTATACCTCATTTGGTAGAACACTTGCCTGGTGGGCATGAAATCTTGGGTTCCATCCCCAGCACGGTATAAATCGGACGTGGTGGTGCACAACTGTGATTCCAGGGCTGGGGAAGTGGGTGCATGAGGATCGTGAGTTCAAGGTCACCCTCTGTTACATAGTGAGAAAAATACTGAACGATGCAAAAGTCATGCTGACTTTCTCTCTTTTCTTTCTTGTTCTAACAGCAGAAGCAGTACTCCAGCCAAGACCCAACCAGCCCCTCCTCACATCTCCCACCATCCCTCGGCTTCTCCCTTTCCCCTCTCTCTGCCCAACCACAGCCCCCTGCACAGCTTCACGCCCACCCTCCAGCCCCCTGCCCACTCACATCACCCCAATATGTTTGCCCCTCCCACTGCCCTGCCTCCTCCCCCACCGCTGACGTCTGGAAGTCTGCAGGTGCCCGGGCATCCCGCAGGGAGCACTTACTCAGGTAAGAGGAGCCAATCTCATTGGTACACCCATACTCTTGGTGCCCCTTGCCAGTTACCTCACCACTGGACGGCATTACTTCACAATTCTCACCCCCCTCGGGTGTGTTCTTGGAGTCTCCTTTGAATCTTTTGTGGCTGAGGTTCAGCAAAGTCTCTAAATTGCCCAGCAGAGCCATGGTGAATTTGATGCTAAACAAGAAAATGGAGTATCTAAGTCACACCTTTTTTTTTAATGACATCACCACTGAGTAAAAATCAGATGTCACATATGGCACGTGCTCTGAGATACACATTTAAACTGTGACAGCAATTACAGGCCCGTGGGTGTCATTCCAGGACCTTTAGGTCACATGTTGGTACAGGGGTTTATTTTGTCAAATAGAACCCTCTTCTATTGTGTATTATATTTCTTTTATTACTTTAATTTTTTATTTATGTGTATATATGTATTTGTGTGTGTGTAGTATGTTTGCGTGTGCCACATCCACATGTGTGTAGGTGACTAACCAAAAAGGCCAGAAGAGGGTGTCCCCCGGATCTGGAATCCCATCTGACTGTGAGCTGTCTGACATGGGTGCTTAGAGCAAAGGCAGGTTCTCTACAGGAGCAGTAGGAGCTCCTAACTCTTGAGTCATCTCTCAGGAGGGAGTCTTCTATGACACTGTACCCCAGAATTTTAGAGACAGATGTGTTGAGGCTAGGGGAAGGCTCAGTATAGGGCTTGACGTACAAAGCTGTGGTCCCCAGTTCAGTCCCTAAAGCCCACTAAAAAAGACAGAGATGATGGTGCACACTTGCGATCCCAGCACTGGGAAGACAGAGACGGACAGAATCTCAGGACTCCCTGGCCAGCCTGTCTAGCTAGGCTGTACCTTGGTGAGGTACAGGCCAGTAAGAGCGCTGTCTCAATACACCAAAGTGATGTCAGTGATGTCAGCCATTTGTCACAACAGCTGCCCTCCTGGCTTCATCCCTAGGACTTCTGTGGTGGAAAAAGAAAACAAGTCCCCCAAATTTTCCTGTAACCCCACTCCTGTGGTGATGTGCACACCCAGACACAAATAAGTAACTATTAAAATAAATGTCTGCGTGAAGAAAAATATGGACCCCAACTGAGGAATGACACCTGAGGTTGATATTTGGTCTCCACACACGTGCCTAACACACATGCAAACGTGAGTGCATGTGCAAACACACGCACGCGTGCATACAAACACAAACACACACAGAGAACTGACCTAGTGATAGATATTAGTATTCTTTTCTCCTAATTGTATTAACCGGATCTGTGCTCTGATGTTGATCTAGTCTGACCATGTTACACCACTTTGTGAGCTATACCAATCCTTGAAGAAGGCGTGAGAACCTGGTGGTGCTAACAGATATGTAACAAATGACTGGTGTGTCTCACTGTACCACAATATTTAAATAGTGCGCGCGCGTGTGTGTGTGTGTGTGTACATGCATATATGTTTATCTGAAGTAGAAGCAAGAATTTCATCTGTGGGTGTTTTTCCTCAGGGCACAGTCACCCACCTTGTTCTTGTTGTTTATAGCTGGATTGTATGTGTGTGTGTGTGTGTGTGTGTGTGCGCGCACGCGCATGTGCATTTGTTGTTCCTGTTGTTGTTTTGAGACAATCATTAGTCCAGAACTCACCAAGCAAGCAAGCCTGAGAATGACTGAGCTTGCTTTTAGACCTGAGACTGAGAGACTAGGTAGCGGACTTGACATGGACCGAGAGCCAGCGTTGATATAGTCTATCTATTCCCCCTGTTGTCTCCTTTTATCCCAGGGCCTGGCTCCACCCCTGTGTGCCCCAAGTAAATTATCCTTATCCCTACATCTTCCATTCGTCCTTGTAGACACTGTGCCTAGCTTTTGACATTATGACATTGTCATCTATAGAGTTCACACTGGAGAACCACACAATCACATTTTACACACACACACACACATACACACACACGAGTCTCATTGTCGCAGTTACTAATGTAACTCAGTTGGTAGAGTGCTTGCCCAAGATGCATAAAGCCCTGGGTTCCATTCTTACCACTACACAATACCACATACAGCATTGCATGCCTATGTCCCATAGCTTAGGATGCAGAGGCGGGAGGATTAGGAGTTCAAGGTCATTCTCTGCTGTGTAGATTTCCAAGTCATTCTGGGATACATAAGCCTCTCCCTCAGTTAAAAACAAACAAAACAAGAACCTCGTAATGTGTTAAATAAGTTTATGATTCTGTGTTGGGCCGAATTCATAGCTATCCTGTGCTGCGCTGGCATGTGGTATGCACACTGGACATGTCTGCAACCAGGATGTCCTGTTCTGAAAGAAAAGGGCCCACCATCGTTACCTCCCTTTCCTTCTTTTCCAGAACAAGACATCTTGAGGCAGGAACTGAACACGCGTTTCCTGGCCTCTCAGAGCGCCGACCGAGGGGCATCCCTGGGCCCTCCGCCCTACCTGCGGACCGAGTTCCATCAGCACCAGCATCAGCACCAGCACACGCACCAGCACACGCACCAGCATACCTTCACACCGTTCCCCCACGCCATCCCACCCACCGCCATCATGCCGACGCCAGCACCTCCCATGGTGCGTACCCCAGGCAGAAATGTGAGGATAAGTAGAGCATGCAGCTTGGTTTGGGGGCTGGCATGGGCATTGGGAAACCCTGGAGAGAGGGGATGGAGAGAGGGGGCTGTGGAGGGGGAGGCGGTGTCCCTTGGGTCTTGTCCATCTTTCCCAATGAACTCTGGTTCTAGAGCCCCAGAGTGGGTGCATTTTCCTAGATGGCTATCATTGGCACCATGGATAGATTTAATCCTGGGTGCCTTCCAAACACTCAGACAAAGCCTTGAAAGCTTCTGAAAGGGTTATTATGTTTGCTTGTGCATGCTGGGTGATTGTCCCCAGATCTAAAAGTGTTGAATACCAATATAGAAATACTTGGGAAAGATTGGGAGCAAAGGGCCTGTTGGGAGGATGTTCACTTTGGGTACTGCCTCTTCCTTGGTCGTATATTTCCCCTGATCCTGTTTTCCTTGAACTGCCATGTTTCTTGTTTTTCTATGTTACGACACAGTGCCCTAAACTTACTTTACGTCTGAGAGCAAGCAGGCAGCAGGGGCAGATGTGTTCCACAGAGATATAACTCAGCAATGACGTAGCCTGACTTTGCCTTGTCTGGGGTCTGGCACACATGTGGAGAAGTAGGATATTTGTTTTAGAAACCAGGAATACCCATGAATGGTGCTGTAGTAGAATTCTCTACATATCCTAAGAGAGAGGCCTGCCCATAGCAATGACTATCACAATCTCATATTGCTAATCTTTAATATTTGAAGAAATACTTGGGGCTGGAGACATGGCTCAGTGGTTAAGACAGACCACATGCTATTCTTCCAGAGGACCTGAGTTCAGTTCCGAGCCTCCATGTTGCACAGCTCACAACCACCTATAACTTTAGCTGTAAGGGACCCAGCACCCTCTTCTACTCTGCTTCGGCACCTGAATACTTGTGCGCATACCCACACACAGGCGCACAGACATGCATGTTTTTTTTTTCTTTTAAGAATACACTTTTTTGTTGCCAGAGACAAGGCTACAAACCCTATCCCAAATCACTCGTTTTGTCCTGTAACACATTACTCTGATATAGCAGAATCTTCCACTTTCCTGCCACAGAAAAGATGACAATATAAGGAGTTAGTTCTTGGTATGAGGTAGATGGTGTCTTGGGTTTTTTATTGTTGGGTTGAAACACTATGACCAAAACACCTTGGGAGAAGAAAAGGTTTATTTGACTTACATATCCAGAGCTACAGTCTACCGAGGAAAACCCAGGCAGGAACTCATATGGACAGGATCCTGGAGGCAGGAGCTGATGCAGAGACCATGGAGGATGCTGCTTCCTGGCTTGCTCCTCATGGCTTTCTCAGACTGCCTTCTTATAGAACTCAGGACCACCAATCCAGGGATGACCCCACCCACAATGGTCTGGGCCCTCCCCTATCAATCATTTATTTAAAAAAAATGCCCTAAGACTTTCCTACAGCCCGTCTTCTGGAGGTATTTTCTCAATTGAGATTCCCTCCTCTCAGATGACTCTCCCTTGCGTCGAGCACGGATGGGATGCCCGCTTTCCTGGTTTATCTGAATAAGGGCCTATTTTCTCCACTTTGGCTATTTCCCTTGTGCCAGTCCCCAGACATAGCATAGCGTTAAGGTATCCTGAGGAGTGGGGCACGCTGGGTGGGCCTATCACAGCGTTTATGTTTTGGATACTTCCTGTTGGGAGACCTGCTTGTCGTGCACCCTGAGGTGGACACAGAAGCGCGTCTACTGGGTCCACTCCAGTGGAGGGGTGGATAGAACATGCAGCTGAAGTAACTAGCTTTTGCTTTGATCCCTTTGCAGTTTGACAAATACCCCACCAAAGTTGACCCATTCTACCGGCATAGTGTGAGTCCTACTCCTGTGCTACCTACCCATTTGTTGTCCGCCTTTTCCATTTCCGGTGCTCTTGCCACAGAGGAGTAAGCGCCTGGCAGCCTTTTCTCTCATCTGTGCAAGAGTCTCCCCATCGCTCCTGTTGTTCAGGGTGCTTGCTTGTGTGCCATTTTGTTTTCTTTGTTTTTGCTTTGGGTGGCAATGCAGTATCATCTACTGAATCTCATGGTCAGCAGCAAGTCTGCTGCGTGTGTGGTGGCCAGCCTGTTAGCCAGGAGCTAGAAGAATGAAGGCAGAAGGGTCAGGACGTAAGACAGCCTGGGCTATGTGAGACCCTGTCTCACAAAAGCCACACAACCATGCGTCCTTGGCATTGCCCCATCTCGGAACTTGCTGAAATCACACGGCTGTCCAAAAGAGTGGCTGTGGCTGGATTAGGAGAGTATGAAATCGCAGATTTTAGTCATCGCTCAAAATGCTAGGGACACAGGACTCCGGAAATTAAATTTCAGTTCTTTCCTATAAAGAAACCATCCCTTTTATTTTGACTCGTGCCTCTTTAAAAAAGAGTGGATTTTTCTTCTCTTCTGGAATTAATACAGCACCTTTTCCACATAGCCAGATTGCTATCCAGACCTTATTTCAATTTGAACAGTAAAAAAAAAGTTAGTTAATTTTAAAAAGGTCTTAGCTAGACATGTCGGCACAGACCTGTTATCACAGCATTTGGGAAACAGAGGCAAGAGGGTCCAGAATTCAAGGTCAGCCTTGGGCTGAGACCTTCTCTCGAAAAACAAAAACAAACAAACAACCCCAGAAACCTTAAGATGGAAAAAAAATTGCTCTTTTTCCCTTTACAGTCATTGTTGTGATTCTGCTTTGGGTAATTTCCATTATACTTGCTAGGATATAATTGGTGCTGATCTGGGTTGTAGGTTGAGCCCTGTAAGAGACAAGAGCTTCTCTGTGTAGAGAGCGATCAGACTGTTCGACTGTGATAGTTTGATTATGCGGTGAATACTGCGTCAATTTGACCTGAAGCTCCTCTCGTCTCTCTGCTTCCTGGTTAATTTGTGTTTTTAAAGCGAAAACGAGGAGTAGTGACTGTCGTCATGTTGATAGAGTGTGCAGAGCTAGTTGTTGTATTAGACAGCACTGTCTTAACACCCCGGCTGTAATGCTGCTTAACACATCCGCAAAAGCCGGATTCATTCAAGCTTTAAATAGATGTGTGCATACTGCTTACTGTGCAAGAGTATAGCCGAGATAACTAGACCAGAAAATACTAGAGATCAGTCCCAAGTGTTTCTTCTCTAGAGGCCTTTGGAACTGACCCAAGGAAGGGCTCTTGGAATTAGCCAGGCTGGAGATATAGAACAGTTTCCTAATATGCAAGAAGCCTTGGGCTTCATCCTCAGCACTGAACAAAACCAGGCATGGTAGTCCAGGCCTAAATCCCAGAGGTTGGGGGTAGCAACTAGAGAATCAAGAATTCAAGGCCCTCCTCAGCTGCTTAGGGAACTTGAGGTCAGCCATGACCCTGCCAGACAGGTTGGTTAAGAGTACTTGCTGGCCTTGCAAGGGACCTGAGTTCAGTTCCCAGCACCCAGGTAGGGTGGCTCATAACTGCCTGTAACTCCAGCTCCAGTACCTGGGGGTGGGACACAAGCCCTCTTCTGGCTTCCACAGGCATTATGCTTACAGATGTGTGTGTATACACCCACAGAAGAAAAATTTAAATAAGGAATAAAAGAGGTAGGAAGGAGAGAAAAAAGAATATTTAGGTTACTCAGTCCCCATGTGATCCACCCTGGACCACTGAGCACTCGGACACAAAAACATTTTAGCAGTGATGATGAGAATTGGGCAAATCTGTGGACTTCCTCCTTGAGTGCGCCTCACGGATGGTACATTCTGTCTTTACATGGTGCTCTATAGATTTAAACGAAAGGTCAGAGGTCAGAGAGAAAGCTTGATCCATATAGGTTTTGCCCTACAAGCAGGAGTGTTTTGAGTTCAACCCCTGGATCCCACGTGAAAAGACCTGACATGGTGGTCCACACTTGTAATCCCAGCACTAGGGAAGTGGAGACAGGGGGATTCCTGAGGTTTACTGGTCACCCAGTTGGGTAGTGAGAGAGAACATCCCAGTGAGAGACGGACAGGCTGAGGAGATGGCTCAGTGAGTAAAGAATGGTTAGCACACAAGCCTGGAGACCCGAGTTCAAACCCTAGGGCCCACATAAAGGTAGAAAGAGAACTAATCAGCATTGTCCTCTAACTTACACATACACGTCCTGGCACCCTCCCTAAACATAGCATGTCCCCCACGCTAATAATAGTAAATAAAATTTCTAAAAAAGCCAAAATAGACAAGATATCTCTTGACACGCTCACTGGTGTATGCACGCACAAACAAAGACACAAAATAAACATTGAAAACAAATACATGAAAGACCAGCTAGTGAAATAATTCTAACAAAAGTATCCTATGCTCAGCGGGTGGCCCCCGGCTGACTTCCTGAGACCAAAATGTCAGCGCCATCCTCCTCATAGGCCACAGAGGGTCCCTGGATTAAAGGCAGAGGAGCAGTCTGGATGCCTGAGTGTCTGGGAAGTTTCTGTCTTACGCCTGAGACAATTCAGACTGTTAGACAAGGGGCAGGAGTTGGCTGTGTTTCTGTTCTAAGAGGGTCTGCATCAGAAGGAAGGAGAGAGGAATGGGCCTCCCGTTTTTCTTTTTTAATTGTAACCATTAGAGAAGAAAGGACCACTTGGAGGCAGAGTCATAGAAATTTGAGCGTTTTAATACAGCATGTACTTAATTACTCTGCTTTAGACGGCGTATTGGGGGAGAGATATTTCATAATATTAGCGATGGGGGCTAATCTATGAAGTAGTCTCCCCTGCTTTGGGGACTAGGCCGTTATGAGGCAAATTAAGATGCAGTGCGCTCAAGTAGCTGAAAGACAATTTTAGACTTAAAAGTAGCTGTAAATGAGGGTACTTGGCTGGCAATCGCTGTTTAAGTGGATTTTGTTCAATATCAATTAGTCTGGAAAACTTCTTGGTATCTTTGTGGAAAGCAAAATGAAACAGAGAGCAACCGAAAACATCCTGCGCTCTGAAGATAGGGGCTTCAGTGAAGTTCGGTCGTTACTGAAAACAACTAGCCTAGAGAGAGCATTGTTAAGGAAATCTTGTTACCGTACTTTTAACGTGCTAGACAGCAGCGGGGCTGGGGAGTTGCTTAAATAGCGTAGGATAGTTTGATCATGGAGTCAGAGAAATAAGATGTTTTGAGGAGCGAGGCGCGTTTCTGCTGCCGTGGGTTGTGCTGTGTGTCTAGCTTGTTTGTTTTGTTTCTCCTGCTATTGTTTGTGCTTTGTAAGCCGCTGAGTCCGGAAGACTCACACTTCCTTAGACACCATCTTTGTGTCATGGAGTGGTCAGAATCACATCAGGGCTCAGCTCCCCTCCCGTAGCCTCCCACACGCCTGTTCCCTGAGCAGCCCACACCATGAAAAGTGCCCAGAAGGCTTTCTGCTTCATGCGTAAATACCAGGTGCCTTGCGTACCTAAGATCTGGGACAGGAGGAATTTCTAATTAAAGCATGGTGTCCCGGACTCCCGTGTTATCTCTGTTGCTTCAAATGATCTGCAATGGGGAAACGAGATGAGATGATTCTTTTTAGACTTTCTATAAAAATTGGCCGTTCCATTTAAAAATGTAAACCGAGTCATTTAACCCTCCACAAATATCCGTCATCATTTTAGATGAGGGGATTAAATTGTCCTCTGGAAGTGCCTCTTCGAGAACAGCCTAATGAAGCAAGGATGGTGAATAGTCTCTTTCCTCAAACCACCAAACATCTAAATTCATTTAAAACTCATCAAGTTTCAATATGAAATCCTGGCCCTGCTAAAGACCTTCTCTTCTTCTTCTTCTTCTCGGTTTTCCTTTTTTTTCCTAATTCACTTGTAATTTTCTGGGCGTCTTGTTGGGCTTAGCATCCCCTGTTTTCGATGTGCATGGAGAGCTTCTGTGTGATTTCTTGATTAATAATTAGCAAAGCTCCCTCTCTAGTGATGTTCTCATCGGGGACATCATTTGTTGGCCGATTGATTCTGAACTACTTTTTAACTTTTTTCGTTAAACATTCATGGCGCATCTGTGTGTTCGTCTCATCGTAGCTTGGCTAATGGCATCATACCGCGATCGGTTTGGCTTGCTAATGTCAATGTCTTTCTGTGGGAATTGGGACATACCACGTGCCCCCCCTACTAAAACCTTTTCTTTTTTTTAAATCCCTCCCCACCTTTGGCTACAGCTCTTCCACTCCTATCCTCCTGCAGTCTCGGGTATACCCCCCATGATCCCACCCACGGGCCCTTTTGGTTCACTGCAAGGAGCGTTCCAGCCGAAGGTAAGAACCTCAGAGTGAAGACGTGGGTGCCTCTCTTAGTGGAGGGCCAGGTTAGGCATGCAGGGGGCTTGTGTCCATGCTTGTCTGCCGTGATGAGTTCACAGACTCAAAGGGACCATAGGGAGCAGAATGAGACTTTTATTTTCCTGGTCCATTTTGGTTTAAAACTTGGTGTTGCTAGGACCCATGTAGTCTCAGTTGAGCTAGGTTTTCTATACTCTTCAAAATATGCAGAAAGGGGGTTGGAGGGATGGCTGAGTGGCATAAGTGCCTTTTTGGCTCTTGCAAAAGACTCAAGTTCGGTTCCCAGCACCCACATCAGGCAGCTCACAACCTGTAACTCCAGCTCCAAGAGATTCAGTGCCCTTTCCTGACACCTGTCAATACTCATACATACATGGCATGCACACATAGACACACACTTATACATAAATAAAATAAAACCAACTGTCAAAAAATACGCAGAATGCTTACATTATAGGCTCACAGAGATACTTTTTCTTCCCCAAGCTCTAATAAGTTTTCCCATTGGCATGTATTAACTATAAGACATAATGAGTTGGGTCTGGAGAGATGGCTCAGCAGTTAAGAACATTGCCTGCTCTTCCAAAGGTCCTGAGTTCAGTTCCCAGCAACCACATGGTGGCTCACAATCATCTGTAATGGGGTCTGGTGCCCTCTTCGGCCTGCAAGCACACACACAGACAGAATATTGTATACATAATAAATAAATATTTTAAAAAAGAAATAATGAGTTTCATCATGACATTTCCATACGTATAATATATATAATATACGTTCGCATGTTTGCCTCTTGTCTTCTTCTCATTCCCGCTGATCTCTCCTCCTGCGTCGTTTCCTCCTGCAAACCATCAATTTGAACTGAGGTCACATGGGTCATGAGGGTCTCTTTGCAGGAATAGCCCAGCTTCCCAGGATCTACACCCCTGAAGAACAGGATGTTTCTTTGGGGGAGCACTGTTAAACATGAAGTATTTAGTAGAACATGCCAAGTTGCCTTTAAGGTGTACATAAGGAACACACATGCAAAGTTGACTGCTGGTGGCTTGTTAATGGGAAAGGGGATAAAGGTTTCCAGACTAAAATGGTTTGCTTTTTGTTTTGCCTGAGAAAATTTTTTCTATTTACTCTCTAGTCTTTGCTGTATCAGTCATGAAGCTGTGCAGGGGGCAGGGGAGGGGGGATCTGCCTGGAGGTAGCAAGGGGAGGCAAAAACTCCCCTTCTTTCTGCTCTTTCCCCCTCCCTGTTCACCCTTAGACCCGTCTGTACAGCACCCACTCCACGCCCATTCTCACACTTGCCAGAGTCAGGGTCCGTTCTTTGTTTCTGATACACTAGTGTGAAAATTCTATTTTTAATTTTTTTTTAGGTTTTATTTTACATGTATGAATATTCTGCCTATATGTATCTATGCGCACCACATGCATGGTTGGTGCTCAAAGAAGTCAGAAGAGAGGGCTGGAACTCCCAGAACTAGAGTTATGGATGGTCACGAGCCATCGTGTGGAGGCCAGGAACCAAGCCTAGACCTTTACGAGAGTAACAAGTGCTCTTAACCACTGAGCCGTCTCCCTAGTCCTTGAAATTCGTTCACCTTTTATTCTTAGGAGGAACTAAATTATTTTCTACCCAGCGAATAATACACAGATCAACGCAGGCTAAGTTATCCATGAAGGTCAATATTCAAAAGTAATTTTTGATAGCACCTTATCTTTTAAAAACATCTCCTGTGGTAGGGGAGTTGGCTCAGCAGTAGAGCATCTTCCTAGACCCCCCAATGAGGGGTCGGGGGCATGTCTCAGACATGGACTCCCCAGTGAGGGGTCGGGGGCATGTCTCCATACACAAGTCCCTAGGTTCAATCACGACACCATCCAAAGAATGCAGAATAATATTTTATGTCCCTTATTTTACTTAAATACTAATTTTTAAACTACAGTGTGCTTCTCCAGTGGCCAGTCGCGTTTAGTCGCGATGTTACACTGTGTGGTTTGGTTTCTGCCCCCTCTCCACCTCCCATTCCCATTCTTAAGCCAAAGCACCAATCTGGGACCAGAGTCTCCTGAACTGAACACATGCATTTTTCAAAGGTGTGTCGCCATAAAAGCCAGAAACAGGGAGAGAAATTAAAAAGGCATTAGGGGTCGGAGGCTGCGTCTTTGAAATCACCCTTCCGTGCGGGGAACTGCAGCTCGAATGTCAGGCTCTGTGTGCACTGGGCTTTTACAGTGGCCGCGGCAAGTGGTGGCGATTTTTTTTTAGACTCCTTTCCCTGTTCTTCAGTAATCCCTCAGACCTTGGTCTGTCCCCACTAGGTTGTGACAAATCTCCAGTGTGTCCCCAAACAGACTGGTAGGTCATTTAATAAATTAGACTATTTCCCTCACTTGCAATTATCCAATCACACCACAAACTACATCTGGGCGAGAAAGCGTCTCTCGGTGTTGAAATACGCCTTTCCGGGCCATCTTCCTGATTGAATATGTAGATTGCTGTTCATTAGTGGAGTTCTTCATATGTATGCAAATCAGGCTGTTAACAACTGCAGCTTAATTGTTGGTTGTACAGCAGCTGATTGCTTTTCTTCTGTACTCTCCCCCTTTTTTTTCTTTCCCCACTTCTCCATGTAGGCAAAGCTTCATGCCTAAACTTGAGCTTCTCTCCCTGCTCCCCAACCAGTTAGTGTCTAGTGTGAGGGATCCATACGGATGATGTCTACTTTAGAAAAGTAAGGACCAGTCCATGGCTCAGTGGGTAAAGGCATTTGCCACCAACCCTGAGTTCGAGCCTCAGAACCGAGATGGTGGAAGGAGAGACCCGGTTCTTACAGGTTGCCCTGTGAGTTGCACACGTGCAACCTGTGACATCTGCATGCGCGCGCACACACAAACACGCACACACATGCACAAGCACACACACAAGTGAGTAAGTTTTAGTAGCCACCAGAGGCTGGGAAAAGCAGGTTAGGAGGTAAAGGCACATGCCACCAAGCCCAGGGAACTGACCTGGATCCCCCTGGTAAGCCATATAGTGGCAGGAAAGAATTACTATCTGCAAGTTGGCCTCTGACCTCTACACACATGCCCACAGACAGACAGACCCACACATAGGCAAACAGATAGATACATGTAACATATATAATCTGTATTTTTCTAATTTTTAAAATAGAAAATAGCTCCTACATCTGAGCATGGTGGCATACACTTTCAATCCCAGACCTTGAGGGGCAGAGGCAGACAGATTTCTTGAGTTCAGCATTAGCCGGGTCTACATAGCAAGTTTCGGGTCAGCCAGGGTTACATAGTGAAAGGCCCTCTCTCAAAAGAGAAACAAGCAGAAACAAACAAACAAAAACCCTACCACTGTTTTTAAGAACCTCCCCACAAGTCATTAGCAACTGTCCCTCTGAAGTGGCCTTTTGCCATTGTCGCTGAGTCAGAAGTCTGGCAGTACCGTCAATATTATTTGTGTTGTGTAAGGACGGCGATAGGAGTCGAGAATACAGGAACATAATTTTCTAGCCAATCTCACGTGGGTCCCTTGTCCCCTTCCCACCATTCTAATGGATCGCTGCTGAGTGTGATTTCTTGTTATCACCTGCCGGTTAAGATGTTCAGGAATCTTAGCGTCTGTGTGCACCTCTTGTGGACACTGTGATTGTGCAATGAACTGTTTCTTTCAGTGATGGGTGGTAAAGCAGGGGGAAAATTGAGAATAACAAATGAAAATGGTGACAGTTAGTGGTGTAGGTGAGCAGGGAAGAGGATTTGAGGGTAACAGTTCCTGCGTAGCTTCTTAGATCCTATGGAGGGACCAGATGCATCACAAGTTCCTGCGTAGTGTCTTAGATCCTATGGAGGGACCTAAGTGGCATCTGACTTCTCATCTAGTACCTTCCCTAAGCTGCTGAGCTCCTTACACGTCCCTGATAGGGTGAGACAATAGGACTGCTGTCCTAAGTTTCAGCTTTTTTTTTTTTAACGATTAAAATGAAAATTTGAATTGTGTGTTTCTGTGTATGTATGCACATGGGAACACAGTACCCAAGGCATCAGGTTCCTCGGGAGATAGAGTTCCGGGTAAACCCTCTCTCATGTGGGTGCTAGGGACTGAACCCAGCTTACCTGTCTTAACTGCTGAGCCACCCCCTCTAGCTCAAAATTAGAGCCTTAGAACCTATCTGGTATCTCCACCAGTGTGTTAAACTTACACATGGACTCTGCCCCTGGGAGCTCAGATACACACACACACACACCCCACAACATCTCTTAAGTATAAAGGATTTCTTTTGTTGTGTGGATTGCTATTGGAACTCCTACCCCAGCTCTCTCTCATCCCCACCCCTAGTCCAGGAGTGTATGAACGTTTGTAGTCTCGGCTCTATGGAGACAGAGGAAAAGGACCCCTGTGGCTGTAGGCTAACTAGTCAAGTCTCTGTGGGTTCAGAGAGACCCTGTCTCAAAAAAAGTAGTGTGGAGAGCAATCAAGGAAAATACCAGATGTCGATCTCTGACTTCAACAGGCATGCATGTGTACCTGCATAAACAAACATACAACATACACTGATAAAAGTTTAATAAAAGTCATAATTTAGAACAAGATAGGGAGGTAATGCTTCGTTTCTACCGTTTTGTAAAAAGGGTAAAACTTGCTTTCTCGCACATCCTAAGCTGTGGTCTGATTAATTTGTAGACATCCAACCCTATCGATGTGGCTGCTCGACCTGGAACAGTCCCCCACACTCTACTCCAAAAGGACCCAAGGGTATGTGCTAAGTCAGGCTTGGTCACAGGTAATGGGGGAGGGGAACATCTGCAAAGGACGGCCCGCCCGGTGCTCTACCTTTGATGGTTTGTGTCAGAAAATGCCTGTTCGTTATAGAAGTCACAGTCTCCCCAACTGTGAGAATGACACAGGATAATAACTTGGCTCAGATAAAAAGAGAGAGAGAGAAGATTCTGGGTCCAGCAATCGAATGCCGCCATCCTGTCTACCTTCCATCCGACAGGTCAGCTGTCTGTAGCTGTTCACAGATCCCTGGTGCAAAAGAAACGGCTACAGAATCTTCTGAATGGAAAAGCACTGAGCTCTTTCTTCCTGGAAGTTAGGCACCCACTCCCCCCGCCCCCTGACACACACACACACACGCACACACGCATCTACCTTCTTGTTTGAGGTCAGGAAGTTACTGGACCACTCTGCTCTTACAGATGGAACATGCTCTAGAGCTAAATAAAACCTCCATTATGCCCCGGTTATGTTATTTATTCATAATTGATGCCATGCTTGCCTCCAAAAGGCAAAGCTGCGCCGTAGAGGGGAGCTTGTCAGTGGACCTTCGCTTCCAACTCTACCATCTACGCAGTTTTTATTTTAGTGGACTTTTTTTTTGCAAGGGCTGGCACATACTCACTGAAGCCAGGATATTGTATAGACAGCCTGGGTCTACAGAGACTGGATAAGACAGACATTTCCAGATGTCCCATCCTTGTCACCTTCATTTTGTGGTCTGAGGACTACTTTCCCTGAGCCCCATATGATGGCCTGTGACAGAGCCAGTCAAAACAGGGATCCTCATGGTCTAGGTTACATGCAAGTCATGCTGGCATAGGGCACATCTCTGCTGGTGAAACGTGTGTATATGGGGGGGTGCTTGTCATGGTGCGTGTTCTCAGACTCCTGAGGTGGGGGGAGGGGACACTTGGTACTTCTGATAGTGTGAAAATGGGTTAATTATTCTCTAAAAGGGCTTCATTTAAAAGTAAAATTCTAACATTTTAATTTTCCCTCCTAATGAAGCACTACAAATTTGTTAATTAGGGCAATTGTTTGAGTGACAGGCGTGTAACCGAGTTGTCATTTTCTCTTCACAGTTGACAGATCCTTTCAGACCTATGTTAAGGGTAAGGAAAGCTTCTTCTAGAACTGTTTCTACAACCTCTGACTCTCTGCGGGTTAAAAATACAAGTCAGTAGCAAGAACCGAGCTGGAGAGATGCCAGAGTGAATGGCAGCGGGAGTAGCTAACGCTGGCTGGTTTTGCAAGCAGGGGGTGGGAAATGGCCTAAATTTTTCTTTTGAGTGCTTGAGAAAGCTGGGCCACTGTGTTTTTCATCAGTACAACTGACAAAGGGCTAGAGAGATAGCCCTAAAGTTAAGAACACTTGCTGCTCTTGCATAAGACCCAAGTTGGTGCCCAGCATCAATATTGGGTGGCTAATAACTGCAGTTCCCAGGGATCCAACGCCCTCTTCTGGCCTCTGTGGGCACTACACACATACACTCACACACACACACACACATAATTTAAAAGAAGTGTCAATCTTTAAAAAAAAAAACGCAACAGACTAGGTGAGGGTGCTGTTATTATCCTGCATTTGCCTTGAACTTGTGAGCCTCCTGGTTCAACCGCCCTCCCCTTTACTATTCTGGGATAACAGGCAAGGGGAAGGACAAGCGGGAGGCTGGCTATAGTCGAGTCTTTTTTGGGTCTGTTTATTTTGCCCCAAACACTCAATACTAAGGGATGCATACCTGCCCTATTCAAGCTCCTTCCCAGCGAAGGATGGGAAAGACACAATCAACGCAGGCAGAATGCTCCTGAGGTCTGGAGTCTGGCCAGCCGGGGACCTCTGGGTACAGACTGACTGATCTGGCACAGAGCTGGAGCAGAAAACAGATGACAGACAGTGGTTGGATGATCCAGTTCTTGCTACGACTGTCACATAATCCCTTGTCGCTTTGCTGTGATACAATGCCCAGCCGACATAAGGAAGGGTGTCTTTGGGTTCTCGGTTCAAGGGTACAGTACATCACGGCCAGGAAGTCTAGGTGGCAGAACGTGAGCTAGAAGCAGAGAGAGATGAACGCTGGCGCTCAGGTTGATCTTTCCTTTTCATTCAGTCCAGGATCCCAATTCAGGGAATAGCACCATTCTTATCTAGGGTGGGTCTTCCCGCCTCAGCTAATCTAGTCAACCAGTCCCTCATCAGCATGCTCAGAGGCTAACATCTAGGTAATTTCTCATGGGTGTGCCTGGCACCTAGTCTCTTAGGGGACTCCGGGTCCTGTCATATCCCTTGCAGTTTCTGCCGTCACAACTCCCCTTCTTCACGTGCCCAAATTGGGTCTGTTGTTTGGGATCACAAACATCCCATAATTCTCTTAGAAGAGAGCAGACCTGGTGTCAGACTTGGGTCTAAGTCAGGAGTGGCATCTTGCTGCAGAAACCAGGGAACCCTGTCCTCTGCTGGTGCAGAGCCGCGGCAGGACTTTCTCATCCTTGTGGTGTTTGCTGAATGAGCTTGTGGAGATACTAGACAGAAAGGAAGGAGAAAGAGTTGGCCCCGCCTTCTCTCGCACCACGCACTGATACGTGCCCTTCACAAAGCAGAGGAGAGACTTGTTCCCTGCGGGAAGGAAGGCATTCATTCCTCCTCGGCCCCACGTTCCCCCTCTCCTCCTCTTTTAACTAGAAGTGAATAAACTCACGCACATGCATGGCTTACTGGCTCTCCGTGAATCATCTGAAGTTGCCAGACTGTGATGAGAATGTGACAGATCACTGTGTAGCGCTTTGAGGGCCCCGTCCCCTCTCCTGTTTTGATCTGACGCATAGACATCCCCTAATTAGCTCTTCTGGACAGCTGATGTGCCTGTTAGCTTGACAGCATTTGTTAGGTAGGGCTTGCTACTCACCAGACCTGCCCGCTGGCACTGGGGATAACACACCACACAGAGAGCGTCAGGTCTTTGCCGTCTTGTCCTTGGCAGAGAACCACATTGTAAAGGAGCCGTGGTCTCAGGCCCACATGGGACAAGGGGGTGGGGGTTCTGACTCCCTCGTGCCTGAGCGAGGAAGAGCTGCTAATGGAAGCATGTGATTGGCACCAAGCTCTCCTGTTCTCATGAAAGAAAGGAAGGTCACCATGGCCCAGATCTGCAGGGACCCCGGGGCGAACACAAGTGGGTGGGCATGCTGACATGTCTTCCTCCTGACCAGGCTGTTCTTTCTTATTCCAGAAACCAGGAAAGTGGTGCGCCATGCACGTACACATTGCCTGGCAGATTTACCACCACCAGCAGAAGGTCAAGGTCGGTGTGGCTCTCCCTGTGTGAGCTGGATGGGGCCGGGCTCGGGAGCCTGGGCACCTCATAGAGGGGCTGTTAAACCAAGCCAAGGCAGGAAGGGGTTTGTCTTCTTGAGACAGTCCCAGGTCGTCTGAGCAGATGATCCTCACAGAAAGGGCGAAGGGCCAGTCCATCTTCAAATGGGTACTCAGAGCCCCTTTGTAACTGAGGGAAACCATAAGCACTAAAATAAATATCACCCCTTAGTGTCCTTTTCCTTTTTGATGAGCTGGTCTCATGAATGGAAAGGGTGTAAAAATTGATAAACTCATAAAATAAAGTGTTTGGAAATCTATATAGAATTACAGAGCAAGAATTAAAATCTAAACAGTGCTTAAACATGAGCCAGCAGCGGATGTTTTAGGGTTTGGGATTTTTTAGATTTAGCTTTTACATTTATTTATGTATTCATTGTTTTAGTGTGTGTTTGTATGTGTGTGTGTGTGTGTGTGTGTGTGTGTGTGTGTGTGTGTGAGAGAGAGAGAGAGAGAGAGAGAGAGAGAGAGAGAGAGAGAGAGAGAACATGTGTGTATGTGTGTTTGAATACTACAGAACAAATCTTAGGAGTCAGTTTTCTTTACCATGTGAGTCTTGGATCAAGTTTGGGCTACCAGGCTTGCCGGTGGATGCCTTTACCAGCTGAGCTATCTCTTCTCCCTAGCCTGTTTGTTGGTTGGTTTGTTTTTAACAAAAAAATGAGAGGCTCGAGATATGACTGAGCAGTTAAGAATACTGACTGCTCTTGTTGAGGATTCAAAGGACCCAAGTTCAGTTCCCAGTACCCGTATCAGGCAGCTCACGACCATCTGTAACTTGAGCTGCAGAGTTCAATGCACTCTTCCAGCCTCCATGGGACCCCTGCATGGGCATTCCCAAGTGCACACGCTCAGACACAAATACACATAAATCAAAAATATTTTCAGAAGATTTAAAAAGATGTTTTTTTCATATTATGGACTTGGAGCAGTGATCCTTTCTACCCTGCAGGAAGTCGAAGGTCCTGGGTGCTCATTGGCTGTGCATATAATAATAAGCGGTCGTGAACAATTATTCTTCTAGCCATTGCGTGAGTCCTTCTGGAGGCTAGAGGATACCAGGTCCTCACCAGGACTACCTTCTGGCCAGTTACTGTACCCTCTGTCGATGAGCCTTCTTTCAAAAACGAGAGGGATCCAGCAAGGGTGGAGATGCTTGTCACCAAGCCTGACGATCTGAGTGTGATTTCCCCAGCACTTACATGATGGAAGGAGAGAACCAACTTCTCCAGGTTGTCCTCCAGCCTCCTAAAAAACAAAAAAAAACAAAAGAAAAAGGGGGTAGTGGGGGAGGGAGACGGAGGAGGGAGAGGTAGAGAGGGAGGACGTGTATGCAATACCAATGGACTCAGCAGGTTATATTTAGCCATTTATATGTAGATGTGTATATAACAATTAAAAGAAAAAAGGGTGAGGTGATTCAGCAGGTAAGGGCACTGGCCGCCAACTCCGAGCACCTGAGTTTGATTCCCAGACCAGCATGATGGAAAGAGAGAACTGACTCACTCCTGAAAATTATCCCCTGACTCCCACACACGCGGTGGCGTGGACATGCACCAACACAAAAATAATGAAAAGAAGATGTCCGCCTCCTCTTTGAGGAACGAAGGCATCTCTTCGTTTCCCAGGCACCTGCTCTCCCTCACACCCCATCAGTGAGCCTTGCTCACTCTTACCTTATTGCCGGGCGAGGCCTAATTAGAGTCCTCGGAGTTTCAGCTCAGCGAGAAAATGGGTGCAGTGTGAAAAGCTAACTAGGTTTGCCTGGTGACTTCAGTTCACTCCGGGTTCTGCATGGCAGGGACAGTGGAACAGCAGGTGGGCCTCGTCTTCCTTGCTTCTCCCTGAGTTTAGCGAGATGAAGGATGGCAGAGAGGTCTCTCTCTTAGCAACTTCTGTTCCATGAAAGCGTCCCTGCCGACTTGACTTTCATTACCCCAATTCAATTATCCAGACCTCTCGAACACGGGATGACTCAGTTCATCTTCTCCTCCCAGCGAGCATTTTCTAATCCCCAAGCCCCCATTCTGCCTGTCGGACCTGATTCCCACTTAATGAGCCCGCACCGTCTACCATGCGGTATTAGCACTAAATAATTTGGCAACTAAATGAAAGGAGGGTGCTCCGAAGATTTTTATAGATTGACAGAGAATTGGAAGCTTGGTTTTGGGGTTTGGCTGTTCCTTGAGCGTGAGGCTTTCATTATGGCATTCCCTGGAGACTGGTGCAGAAATTGCCTCTCTCTGTCTCCTGCTCCTGAATATACATTTACTCATTCTTTTAGTCACTCATGGATTCTTTGAGGAGACCTTGGCCCTACAGGCTGTGAGATGCTCAGGGCACTGACCTTCCTATTGTCGTATGTGTTTAGTAGTGAGACTCACTCTGTGGTGTGTGTGTGGCGTATACATTTAAGGAAAAAGTAATAGGCTGGGAACACGGCTCAGGTAGTAAAGTGCTTACCTTGCAAGCTTGGCAACCTGAGTTCAGTCCCCAGAAACAACACAAAAAACTGGTCATGGTGGCTTACACTCACAATTTCAGAGCTGAGGAACCGAAAACAGATGGACCTCTGGCGCTTGCTAACCAGCCAGCCTCGCCTGGTGAGGTCCAGGCCATTGGTAGACCCTGTCTCCGAAAGAAGGTGGGCAGTGCCTGTCAGCCATACCTAAAAATGTCCTGTGTCCTCTGTAGGCACACGCACACACAGTGGTGAAGGTTCTCTGTGTTTGGAGAGGTCTATGGCTAGGTTTCACTTCCAGGAGGTTGATGGGTGAGTGGGGATTGGTGTATCTTCCCTTGCCTGTGATTTTCTCACTCGTGTTAGTGTAGGTGCCTGTCCTTTGTAAAGACTTCCTCCATTACACAGCAGGGAACAGGGGGTCCTTGAAACAGAAGAGAGTTTGAGGCAGGACAAGAGTATAGTCAAGATGGCCGAGATCATCAGAGGAGCCCAGGAGATGGCAAGAGCCAAACAGAAGCAGCTTCAGGCAGTGTGTGAGTTGGAGGATAGCAGGAAGTGCAGCTAGCAGTAGGGGACAGACAGTGTCACTCTGGGGAGGCAGGAAGCTGACTGAGGGAGAGGGCTGTCAGAACCCTGGAAGGTGGGCACATTGGATGCCCTGCCGTTCAGATGGATACCAGCCTCCAGGATGATGCCGGATAGGGCCGAGGAAAAGATGGTAGGCTAAGGATGCAGTCATTGAGGGGATGGAGCCAGCAGCTAGCCACAGGAGAAGACGAAGTGAGTCCATGAATAGGAACCACTTCACCTACCAGAGCCTCTGCCCAGCTCACAGTCTGGTTTGACTTCCCCTTCTCTAGTAGTTGATGGATGTTAGAAAGGAAATGATGCCTGTTAATTAAAAACATACCCGTGTGTGTGTGTGTGTGTGTGTGTGTGTGTGTGTGTGTGTGTGTGTGTGATGAGTCTTCATGTACGGTGTACATGTACAAGTGTGTGTACTTGTGTGAGACCTGATGTCAACCTGAGATTCCTCAGCAGCCATGCACCTTTCCCTTTGAGACAGAGTCTCTCATTGGCCTGCAGTTCACATACGAAGCTAGGCTGGCTGACCAGTGAACCAATGGGATTATAAATCATGCACAGCTACACTTGGCTTTTTTTTTTTTTTAAGGTGCATCCCAGGGGTCAAGATAAGATCTTTATTTTTGCCTGCCAAGTGCTTTAGTCACTGAATTTCTCCCCGGCCCCTGTGTTCTTTAGAATATGTCAGAGTGATTTGATGGATGTGTTGTGATGTGTTAGAATATGACAGAGAGCCATTCAGCAATTAATTTTGTACATCAGGCTGTTCTTGCAGAATTCCAGATGTAATTAGCTTTAAAAGACCGTCGTCTTAAAGCTTGCAGGGAGAGGGGCTGGGTAGATGGGTCAGCCAGTAAGAACACTTGCTGTTTGCCTTAGTTTGCTTTCTATGGCTGTGGCTACACATGTAGAAAAGCAACTTGGGGAGGAAAGGGTTACCCTTCCGTGTCCCAGTCCATGACTGAAGAAAGTCATGGCAGGAACCTGGAGGAGGGAACTCAGGCAGAGGCTATGGAGGAACTACCACCTGTCCAGGGTGGCACCACACACGGTGGCTGGGCCCTCCCACATCCATCATTAGTCAAGAAAATGCGCCACAGGCTTGTTCACAGGCCAGCCTGATGGAGGCATCTTCTCAGTTGAATTTACCTCTTCGAAAGTGACCCTAGCCTCTGTCAAGTAGAAAAAACACACACACACACAAACCACTGACCAGCACACTGCTCTTCCAGAGGAACTGAGTTTCTGTACAGGAGCCCATCTGGGTGGCTCACAATCACTGCAACTCCAGCTCCTTGTAACTCTACTTCAGGGGGTCTCTTGCCCTTTTCTGGACTTTGTGGGTATTCGTACACCTCTCTCTCTCTCTCTCTCTCTCTCTCTCTCACACACACACACACACACACACACACTAAGGAGAAATAAAGAAAATCCTTGGGGGGGTGGGGCTTGCATTCAGGCATGGCAGTACACATCTGTAATCTCAGCACTGGGGAGCCGGAGGCAGAAGGATGAAGAGTTTAAGGATACCCTCAAGTATGTCACAAGTTTGAGAGCAACCTGTTCTACGTGACACTCTGCTTCAGAATATACCAAAAGACCCAGGTCTAGGGATGTGACTGAGCTGTACAGTGCTTGTCTTCCATGCAGGAAGCCCTGGGTTTCATCCCTAGCACCGTATAACGCATGGTGATGTACTCCTGTAAAGGTGGAGGCAGGAGAATAAGGAGTTCATGGTCGTCCTTGGTTACACAGTGGGCTCTAGGACAGGCTAGTCTGGGCTCTGAGATGGACAGGTAGGGGAAGAACTTGTAGACGAGGCCTTTACAACACAGTAATGGCCTGTGTGCGGAGTGGTACTAGTTTTTGAACAAATAGAAAGTGGTCACGCCTCTCAAACTGCACCATGTCGAAGACCGAGTCCGAGTTTTGCCATCAGACATTTCTGGTGTAGGAAGCAGGCATTACCTTGTAGCAGCCACTGCCAGTCCCTGGAAGGCCAGGCTGGCGTCCTGGCATCTGAGGCAGTGTTCTGACACTTGAGCCTGGCAGTCAGAATCCAAGTCCAAGGTTCACAGCCCTGACCCACCCAGACCAGTCTTGGGCGACTCACCGATATCTCTTAGCTGTTGCCCCGGTTTCATCCTCTCTCCTCGACCTCTTGTTTTAGAAACAGTTGCAGTCGGACCCACACAAGCTGGACTTCGGGCTGAAGCCTGAGTTCCTGAGCCGTCCTCCAGGCCCCAGTCTCTTCGGGGCCATCCATCATCCCCATGATCTGGCACGACCTTCGACTTTGTTCTCCGCCGCTGGTGAGTTCAGGGGGTGGGTTGGCACGGAAAGCTGGAGCTTCAGAGTGATGTTTGGGCTCGGTGTCGCCAGTGACTTCATAGCTGGAGAGCACAAATGACACCAGCTTGTGAGACAGTGCTCCGCGTGGCTAGGGAGATGGGCTCTGCGTCATCGGTGCCCACACCTTTTATTCCGTATGGACCAAGGTTTAATCAGAGGCACGTGCAAAACTACTGGAAAAGATCAGCAAGCTTACCAGGGCAGATTAGAAGAGAAATGGATCCTAACTAACCTCGTGTGTTTGTGGCCTACAGAACAGTTAGTGGGCGTTTCCTCACTGTGACCGTCACACTGCCTTTTGAGGGTCTGAGGATGAAGGTGCACAGTTAAGTTAGGTTAGCTTCGTGTGTGTGGTGGCTCAGGTGTATCATGCCCGCACCGGGGAAGCAACAGCAGCAGAAACACTAATAATTCAAAGCAAGTCTGGGCTACGTGGTAAACTTCAGCACAGCCTGGACCACAGTTCCTCAAAACGAACAAACAGGGTTGGGGATATAGCTCAGTTGATAGAGCATTTATGTAAATAGCCACTCAGCCCTGGGTTCCGTCTGCAGCACGACATAAATTGGGCATGGTGGCGCACACCTATGATCCCCAAGCTTAGGAGACTGAGACAGGTAATCAGGAGTTCAAGGTTATCCTCAGTACTTAGTGAGTTCAAAGCCACCCTGGGCTACACAAACCTCTGTCTCAAAAAATACTTTTTATAAATATAGCAAGCAAACAACACAAAGGTAACTGCCCTGTAAGGGCAGAAAGAAACTCACTCCACTTGGTCCTGGCTGGCTGGTCTACTGCAGAACGTACTGCCATTGCTTGGTTGACTTTGATGGTGGAGGAGTTACCTGTAGGATTCAGAGTTCTCAGTCCATGAGACTCTTGACCTGTTCATTCACAACGCAACTCACTTCACCTCTGAGAATTCACACTTCCCATGTCTCCACAGTGCAGAAGGTCAGGCTGGGGAGGAGGGCAGAGGGTGTCAGAGGACTGTCCCTTTCCACTTACGGTACATATGGGTCAAATGTGGTAGCCCTGTGGAATCTTTGGGTAATGTCATAGTTTCATTTCTGTCGATATATCAGATAACCTCTACCAAAAAAGCAACTCAAGGAAGGAAAGGGTTTGTTTGGCTTACACTTCCAGGCGACAGTCCATCACTGAAGAGATGTCAGGACAAAATCTCAAAGCAATTATTCATGTTACATCAGCCGTCAAGAGCGAAGAGAGAATAAACACATCCTAGCTGCTTACTCTCAAAGCTCAGGGCCCTGCTTAGGGAATGGTGTTGCCCACAGTGGGCCAGGTCAGTGAATAATCAAGATAGTCCCTCAAGACATACCCACAGGTCAACGTGATCTAGGTAATGTTGGAATTCTCTCAGCAGGTCGTTCTAGGTGGTGGCAGGGGCAGTTGAAATTAAATAACCATAATAGAACTGGGAATGCGGCTCAGTGAGTAAGCGCACTTACTCGCAATCTCTCTGTCCTCAGTTTGATTCCCTGGAGCCCACATGAGAGACTTAACTCTTGGAAGTTGTCCGTTGACCTGTGAACATGAGCCGAAGTATGGGCTCCTACACACGTACACACACACACACACACACACACACACAAATAACCAAGCACTACGGGTCCTATTGGTACCAAGTGTCCTTAATGACTCAGTGTTTTCTTTCCTTTTTTGAGCCAACCTGGTGAGTCTGGAACTCACTGTGTAGAGCAAGTTGACTCTGAGCGTAGGCTCTGCTTCAGCCGCCTGAGTACTGAGATGACATTTCTACCACACTGGGCTACTGTTCAGTCTTTTTTGTTTGAGATGGATTTCTCGGTGTAGCCCAGGAACTCACTCTGTAGACAAGACTGGACTCGAACTCAGAGATCTGCCTGCTTCTGCCTCTGGAGTACTGGGAGTGTGTGCCACCACACATGGCTTGCCTTCTTTCCTCTTTAATTTCCCTTTCCTCCCCACATCCTCTCTTTTGAGGCAGGTAGCCTAAGCTGGCCTTGAACTCTCTACGTAGCCCAGGCTGACCTTGAACTTTTGGTCCTGCTGTCTCCACTTACCAAGGACCGGAACCACAACCCATGTGCCACCACACCTAGTTTATGGGGTGCCAGTGATGGAAGCCAGATCTTCGTGCGTTCCGGGCAAGCACTTTCCCTAACCATGAGCTACATCTCCAGCCCACTCAGTGTTTCTTAAAGCAGCTTTTAGTTCTCCATCCCCGCCGCAAAGCTCAGTAAATAGTTGAGAGTAGTGGTGCCCCATTAGCTGTAGTAACAAGCAGTGTGGCTTCCGTCTGCTCGCGGTATGAATCTGAATTTATCCCTAGGAATGAAAACAGTGAAGGAGTCCACCATTTCTGATCCGCAGGGAACATGCTCTGCATCCATCCTGCCTACTGCCTTCCTAGGCTCTGATCCAAGATTCGTGTTTGGTAGACCCATTGACTCTTGCACTGAACAAAAGAGAAGTCCGGACATCAGTGCAGTAGCCCTGTGGTCAAGGCAAATAAATCACCAGTGGGGATGGATGGAATTGCCAGGGTCTCGGGTTTTCCTCCTGTGGGTTCTGCCTGGGGAATGTATTTGAAGGTTCTGTTACCATGGCACCAAACTCTGAGACACGGATACATGGAGAGCAATTTCGGGAGAGAAATAGAGAGATTTCTCCCCGGACTTCATTGCAGCCAAATGGATGAATTGGCTTCTTTTGCTTCAATAATCCTGGAAATGTGGGCATCCCCAGGGACCTGGGTCTTTGTCAGAACATTAACTAGCATGTACTACGCAGTATGTGGCCCAGATTTTATTTGGCCGACAACACTGGTGGTGACTAATGAAGGCTGTGGAATATGTTCACTTTGTGCAGAAGTTGGTTTTTACTCTTAGTACTTGTGGATAGATAACCCCTTAGGTGCCTTTAGATCCTGGGATTCTAGCATTTGTCCTTATGTGCTGAGTCTTACTCTGCAAGCCCAGGCCCCCACGACCCTTGCTATCTCCAGGGACCAATGATGCAGAAGAGAAATCAAGGGCTGGAGAGATGGCTCAGTGTAAAATGTTTGTCATACAAGTGTGAGGGCAGATGCCCTTGGTGAAACAAGATAGCCAGGGCTGCTTTCCCAGCCCCCTCAGGGCTGCCTTCCCAGCCGGCTTTAACATTTGAAGCTTTTAGAAATACCATTCTTCCATAATTCACACACACACACACACTCTCTCTCTCTCTCTCTCTCTCTCTCTCTCTCTCTCTCTCACACACACACACACACACACACACACACACTCCCACACTTCTGTTCTCTCCTCCCCTCCTTTCCCAGCTTCCTGCAGAAAAGGGATCTGGTATGTTTTCAAGAAATATAAACTGAGGGGCTGGAGAGATGCCTCAGCAGTTAAGAACAGTTGCAAATATTGCAGAGGACCCAGGTTTGATTCCCAGCACTCTTGTGGTGGCTCCAAACTGTCTGCAACTTCTCTTCTAGGGAATCTAACACCTTCCAGCCTCTGCAGGAACCAGGCACGTGGTGCTGCGCGTGTACAAGTCAAATAGCTTAGGCTGACCTGAACTCCAAATGTAACTGAACATAACCTTGAACTCCTGATCCTCCTTCTTCTACCTCTTGAGTGTTGGTATGGCTGGCATGTGCTGCCATACCTAATCTATGCAATGCTGGGGATGGAGTCCAGGGCTTTCTGCACACTAGGCAAGCATCTTACCAGCTGAGCCACACTGAGGATTTGGGGATTCGACCTGGAATAAAGTGTCTTCCTGGCCCTGGAAATTAAGAGGCATCAGAAACCTTAGCCTCCCGTCATTCAGTGTCAGCTCCCAGCAGTACATTTGGGGGTGCGAGCCTTGTGAGAGCCTGGGTGCTAAGAACCTACACACCCCTCAGTAATGAGAATGGACTTGGAAGCACTGTCTGCAGCTTCAGGACCACTCGTGAAGTGAAAAACTCATCCCTGGTGTGGTGAAGAAGCAAGCCCTGGGCCTGCTATTCTACTTTAGAGGCGCCTATGAAGCCCTGCAGGGACAAACTCACAAGCCTGTATCCCTGCAGACAAACTTGGTTACTGAAGGTCCCTGTGCTTTGGATGCGGCCCCATCCCACTAGCCAGGCCTAATGCTGGTGCCATCAACTTCATAAAGAGATACTTGCGGGGACAGTGGTTCCATCAGGGAAGTGCTTACTGCGAGCACGAGGGTCTGAACCCATATAGCTAGTCATGGCAGTGTGCTGAGGCAGTGGAGCCATGAGGTTCTCTGGAGCTGACTGGTGAACCAGAGTAGCAGGATCAGTAAGAGTTTCCAGGGTCATCGGTAGACGCTGCCCCCCAAAATAAGGTACAGGGTGACTGAGGAAGACACTCCCCATCAACCGCTGGACACCACGTGTACATATTTGCACACATGTATGCACACACACACAGTAAATCAATAAATGACTGTGCTTACGGTGGCTAGCCATCTTAGTTTGCTTTTTTTTTTTTTTTTTTTTTGCTGTGATAAAACACCATGACCAAAAGCAACTCAATAAAGGGGGGGGGGGATTTATTTCCATCATGAAGAGAAGTCAGAGCTCGAACCTGGTGGCAGGAATTGAAGCAGAGGACATGGAGGATGATTAGTTACTGACTTGCTCTACAGGCTCACACTCGCCTCTCTTATACCACCCTGGACCACCAGCACAGGGGTGGCACCGCCCACGTCAGTCATGAGTGGAGAAGATGCCCCACAGCCTTGCTCACTCATAGGCCAATTTGATAGGGGCATCTTCTCAAAGAAAGGTCCCTCTTCGCAGAGGACTCCAACTTGGTGTCCAGTTGACAAAAGCTAAGTGGGAAAGATGGGAGGGGCGACTTTTCTTGCCCCCAACAAGAATATCGTCTGTTACCAAGTTGAATCCGCAGGAGCTGTGGGTACAATGGAGCTTGACTTCAACACCATTTCTTAGGTCCCTCTAGCACGGGCTTTTTCTAAACTCTGCCGTTGCTCTGCTTGGCTTTGCAGGTGCTACACATCCTACCGGGACCCCTTTTGGGCCGCCACCTCATCACAGTAACTTTCTCAACCCTGCCGCTCACCTAGGTGAGTCAGAGAGATGGAGCAATCCTCCCGGCAGCCTAGCCATGGCACCTGCTGCTGAGCCTTCCAAGGAGGGACATGGGATCTTCAGCCCCGGGGTGGGGTGGGGTAGCAGCCTCTGTGCATTCACGAAGCAGAGAGAGATGGATGCTGGTGCTCAGCTCACTGTCTCCTTTTTACTCAGTTCAGGATCCACCCAGTGGGCTGGGACCACACACAGTAAGGGAAGGGTGGGCTGGCCCACCTCAATCTAGGCACTCCACATCTGTACCCAGAGGGTGTCCCCCTAGGTGAGCCTAGATCTAGTTAAGTTGACAGTAGGTATTAACCATCACAGGGGACTTGGAAAAGGAAAGTAGTCCTTGGCATCTCAGAGCATGTGTCTTTAGGCTGGACTCACCCTACCTGTAGAGGACACTTGAGGGGCCCTCTAGAAGGAAAGATGTGGCAAGCATTGTAAGAGAGCTGCATCAAAGAAGCTGTGCTTTTTGATTTTGGTTTTTCACACTTTATTAACAGGTCTCATCTTAGGAGAGGCATGCTTCCTGTGCCTTTCCGTTTAACATTTCCGGGAAGTGTGCAGGCAGTCGCAGGCAGTGGTGCCTGGTGGGGAATATATAGAAGAATTATATTATTATTATTTGGAATTTTGAGTCAAGGTCTCTGTAACTCTGGCTGTCTTAGAACTCACCATGTAGATCAGGCTAGCCTTAAAACTCAACAGAGATTTGTCTTCCTCTGCCTCCCGAATGTTGATATTTAAGGCATACACTACCACCACCCAGCTTTTATTACTTGTATTTTACCTGTATGGGTGTTTTGCCTTCATGAATTCCTGTGTGTGTGTGTGTGTGTGTGTGTGTGTGTGTGTGTGTGTGTGTCTGCATTACCCTTGGAGGCCAAAAGTGGGTATCAGGTTCCCTGGAACTGGAGTTGTAGACAATTGTGAGCTGCCCTATGGGTGCTGGGAGTCACACTCCAGGTCCTCTGGAAGAGCAGTGGCGCTCTTAACCACGGAGCCCTCTCTCCAGCCTGGCATCGTCTCCTTTTTGTTCATGCATGTAATCTCAGCAGATGGAAACGAGGCAGGGGGATCAGCTCAAGTCTAACCTTGACTTAACATCAAGTCTGAAGGCAGCCTGAGTTCAGTGAGACCATGTCTAAAGCCATGAGAGAAGAAGAGAGACTCACTCAGAGACAGAAGCCTTCTGTGTACAGGAAGGCAGCTGAGGATGCCGGCTCCTGAGTTTGCCCAGTGTCATCCCAAGTGCAAGGGTGAAATCAGAAAGGATGGCACCCTAGAAAATGAACCCCCTTGGGACTCGTGCTCACCCAGCGACTACACCCAAGCACAGGAACAGAATGCGTTTACACAGTCCGGCAGGAGAGTCTGTCGTGTTCCCAGCTCCTGGGACACCCGTGTTCCTCACTGACATGTCCCTGACCACCCTCTCTGCCTTCTCCATCTCATTCACAGAGCCTTTTAACCGGCCGTCTACATTCACGGGCCTTGCCGCAGTCGGCGGCAATGCCTTCGGTGGACTTGGAAACCCTTCAGTTAGTGAGTACCTCTCGATTTTTCTATCTCCCTTGCGCGATTTCTCTGACCCATATATGGCTTTTTAGACCTTTGGAGACGAAGGGAGGACTTCGGGAAAACTTAATTTAAGCTGAGTATATGGGTCAGTGATACAGCACTATCCTAAAACCTAGGGGCGCGGCTCAGGGATGAGAGCTTGTCTAGCATGGGCAAGGCCTGGAGCTCCTTCCCCCGGCACCACCTAAAGTCATGTAGAAACAGAGGGAAGGGACAGGTGTGGTGGCGCACGCCTTTAATCCCAGCCCTCCGGAGGCAGAGGCAGGGGCGATCTCTCTGAGTGTGAGGCCGCCTGCTCTATAGAGAGAGTTCCAGGCCTGCCAGAGCTGCACAACGAGACTCTGTTGAAATGAAAACGAAGGTCCCATGAAAAGATAGTGTCATCTGGAGATGGAGAGACGTAGCCCAGTGGGAAAGAGTACTTGCTGCTCTTCCAGGGGACCCAGACTTGGTTCTCAGCACCCACCTGACAACTCCTAACCACTGTAGCTCCGTTGCCAAGGCATCTGGCGCCTTCTCCTGGCTTCGACAGGCTGGCCATCAGGCACACACATGGCATGCATGTATACTTGCAGGCAAACACCCATGCACATGAAGTAAAAATAAATGTGTGTGTGCTTTCCCGAGAGGGTTTGTCTAAAGCAGTGATGGGTTAGAACATTCCAAACACAGGGGTCAAAGTGAAGCTGGTTGAAGTACACAAGCCGTGTTGTAAGCAGAGCACGCTGCTGACCCAGGCTCTGTGTGTCAGGAGTGGTGGTGTGTTCAGCCACTACAAGACATTTACCTTGGCTCCAACTGAAAGGAGGAAGAAAAGTACAGTGGAGAATAACGGGCCTGGTGATGTGACTCGGGGTGGAGCACTTGCCTGGCATGCAGGAAGTCCTCTGTGCCCAGGAATACGTAGACAGGGAAATGGCACAAGTCTGCAGTCCCAGCTCCTGGGAAGATGGAGGCACTGGGCCCATCCTTAGGGAGTCTGAGGCCATGCAGGGATCCATAAGTCCTGTCTCAGAAAGAAAGGAAAGAGGCAAGCAAGCAACAGAAACCCAGCACACATTGTCCAGGACGCGGTCCTGCTTGGTCTTTTCGGATGGCCGTTGTAACTAATGCTGGAAGGAGTAGCATTTGGCAGGCTGTGGTAGGCAGAGGGCCGGTGGATGCTGCTGAGCTGGCCTGTTCATCTGCCGTGTGGTCATAGAGCACCTTTCTGCATGCCTGCAACTTTGCATGCCTACCTGTATCCGACGGGGCATCTGCACACCCGCTCCGTCCCTTCTCACTTTTTCCTCTTCGTTGAATTTAAAAAAAAAAAAAAAAAAAAAAAAAGCTGTGAGCTGCCTCTGCAGTGTAGGACCGAGTGTTCCTCTAATGAGTGTGTTAATCTCCTTTCCTTTTCCAGCTGCCAATAACATGTATTCATTTTAACTCTGAATGCTGTTAAAGTTTTTGGTAAGTACCTTCACTCCGGCAGGTTTCTATCGAGATTTCTCTGAAACCTTTTTTGTTCTCCACTTCACCATTTCAGCACCCAACTCAGTGTTCGGCCACAAGGATAGCCCCAGTGTGCAGAACTTTAGCAATCCTCACGAGCCCTGGAACCGGCTGCACCGAACGCCTCCATCGTTCCCGACCCCTCCGCCCTGGCTGAAGCCAGGGGAGTTGGAGCGCAGTGCGTCCGCTGCAGCCCATGACAGAGATAGAGATGTAGATAAACGAGACTCCTCCGTTAGTAAAGATGACAAGGAAAGGTACGGAAAGAAACCGCCCTGTGCCGCCCTGTGCCACGCTCCAGGCAGAACCAGCCGCCTCCCCCTCTCCCTTACCCCGGCCTTGTGCTTGTGACCGCTGTAGCTCCCCAGGTCCTCGCCAGTCGATCCCGAGCGACCCTCCCTGCACTCTGGTACCCAGCAGATGGTGACGGTCAGCTGTCACTAGAACGTAGTGCAAGGTGCCTGTCTCAGAAGCACATACAAGCCACCCAAAGCCCCTGGAACATTAGCGTGTCCACGTACACATCTTCCTACAGACAGCCAGTTGGAGCTTGGAGCCAGACACACACACAGCATGTATCTGCCATGTTTGCTTTTGAGTCACCAAGCCCATCCAATCACCCATAGGTTCTTTTGGTTTTTGTTTGTTTTTTCCCCTCCCTTTTCATTTGCTTCTAGTAAGTCATGTGTACATTACCTCATCCTCTTTTTTCTCAAGTGCCATCCAAACTCAAAACCCTGGGGCTCACAGACGATCAGTACAACTTTGTGGTTGTTGCTTTGACTAATCTGACTTCAGACAGCGGCACCAGGAAGCTCTGCTTTGCGTTTGGTTTTCCAGGGAATTATTAATGTTATTGTTTCCATACTATTATTATTATTATTAATTGTTGTCTCCATACTAACTAACCCTTTCCTAAAAAAAAAAAAAAAAAAAACTATCTTCAAAGAAGAAATGTTTCAGTATTTTCGTGCAGACTGCCCAACACACATTCTTTTCTTTGTTTCGGCTGTTTTAATTTTGAATGAAAAAGTGTTAAGTCCTGCCAATATACACCTGGCAAAAAACCATACGAAACAAAACACCCCAACCCCTGTTGGTAATGTCTTTGTGTATTTAGGATTGAAATTTAAGATTGCTCAGTAGGTAATGCACTTAGCCCAGCAAGCATTAAGGGCTTGAGTTCAGATCCTCAGCATCCATACAAAGGTGGGAACAGTCGTGAGTGTGTGTGTGTGTATGTGTGTGTCATCCCTAAGCTCTTGTCCCACCTTGCCTTTGTGTCTGACGCCCCCGGCTGTCCTCTAACCTCCACAGGTTCTTGATGGTCTGCACCTGCAGGCATGCACACACACAGACACACACACACAAATGCTCAAATTTGATTCAGATCTTTGACTTTCCTCTGCTTTGTGTATTGTGCATTTATATGCCATAGTTATTTAAAATAAGTCAACGTTTCAAATTCTATATATAACCAATAAAGTGGAGTACTCCTTTAATGCCGGCACTCCAGAGGTAGAGACAGGTGGATCTCTTGAGTTGGAGGCCAGCCTGGTCTACATGGGCCAGCCAGGGCTACCTAGAGAAACCCTGTCTCAGAAAAATGGACTTAGATGTCTTTCATTGGTTCCTTATGGGAGGAAAAAGATAAATTACCATTTAAGGGAGTTGTGGATTTTTTTTGTTTGTTTTGTTTTTTTTTAAACTCAGCCTATAGGAATTCTAAAGTGCTAAGGGGATCACTCCCATGGAACCTGGGTTTCCTGAATCACTTATTATTATTATTGTAATTATTATTATTATTATTATTTCATCATTCTTTTTGGTTTTTCAAGACGGGTTTTTTTCTGTGTAGCTTTGGTGCCTGTCCTGGTACTAGCGCTTGTAGACCAGGCTGGCCTTGAACTCACAGAGATCCACCTGCCTCTGCCTCCCTAGTGCGCCACCCCTGCCTGGCTCACTTACTATTGAGTAGACTGTAGTCAGCTGGCTTCTTTTGGTTTTTCTTGATGGAGAAGAGGCCTCTTGTACTGAAGTCAGGAAACTTGACAGATATTTTTATCTTTTTTCCCCTTTAGGGCTCATCTTGTCAGCCTGTGTATGTTAGCAGGAAGCAGGATTTCCTTCCCCCATCTTCCCCAGCACCCCCACAGTGGTCCCCTGCACTCTGATCTCTGCCACCTTTGGTCCACACAACTTCTGGCTTCTCCCCTCCCCTTTTCCACATCCATCTTGAGATGGGCCCTGGGAACCATCAGCTCTCTTCTTCACTTTCTGAGTTTGGACTGTTTAACATCTGTTATTGACTTTTATCCCCAGTCCGTAGACATCCTGACCAAGCCAAGTCCCTGAGAATTTTATTTCACAGTCTCCTACAGGGTCCTCAGTCAGTGAGGTTTTGTCTGCTACTGCCTAGTCTGTCTGCATGAGATCAGAGCTCTCTGACAATCCAGCTATCTGGAGGGTGGGACTGCCTTTCCAACTACCCTTAGTGTATGCTCACATTCTTCAACCTGAAGAAGTGCCTTTGTTCCCGGGGTCAGCTGTGGAAATCCCCTGTCTGTATTAAACCCTTGCCCTCCTCAATTTTATATCCAGAGTCAGAAGAAGTCGTAATTTGTGTTTGGCCTGTACTCTTAACCCAAAGCTTTCCTGAGACGCTAACCACGTGGACTGTATTGCGGTATTCCTCAGTGACCACCCTGGTGCACTTCCTTGGTGACCTTGATGAAGGCAGGTCCCTGGGACCCCCACTCACCCTCATCTGTAGGCCTTCACCCATGAAGCTGCCTCTAGAATCTAGATTAGAGTAGGTCGCTGACTTTGCCCTGACATGGGGCACTGCCTTGCTACCTGGGTGATCTAGCTGTCTTCACCACCATCTCATCGACTGCTCCTTGCCTGCCTGGCAAGCCCATTTCATGTTTTCCCCTCTCCCCCTCACAGGGAAAGCGTTGAGAAAAGACACCCCAGCCATCCTTCCCCAGCACCTCCCGTCCCGGTGAGCGCCCTGGGCCATAACCGCAGCTCTACCGATCCGACGACCAGGGGTCATTTGAATACTGAGGCTCGTGAGAAAGATAAACCAAAAGAGAGGGAGAGAGACCACTCGGGATCCCGAAAGGACCTGACCACCGAAGAGCACAAAGCCAAGGAAGGCCACCTGCCCGAGAGAGACGGGCATAGCCACGAGGGACGTGTAGCGGGCGAGGAACCCAAGCAACTGTCCCGGGTGCCATCACCCTATGTGAGGACCCCAGGTGTAGATAGCACGAGGCCTAACAGCACCTCCAGCCGGGAGGCCGAGCCACGCAAGGGTGAGCCGGCCTATGAGAACCCCAAGAAGAGCGCCGAGGTCAAGGTCAAAGAGGAACGCAAGGAAGACCACGACCTACCTACAGAGGGCCCACAGGCCCACAGGACCTCAGAGGCACCTCCACCCAGCTCCTCAGCCAGTGCTAGCGTGCACCCAGGGCCTCTGGCATCCATGCCCATGACCGTGGGAGTGACCGGTATTCATGCCATGAACAGTATCGGTAGTCTGGACAGGACACGCATGATGACCCCGTTTATGGGCCTCAGCCCAATCCCAGGGGGAGAGCGCTTCCCATACCCCTCTTTCCACTGGGACCCCATGAGGGACCCCTTGAGAGATCCTTACCGTGACTTGGACATGCACCGAAGGGACCCTCTGGGCAGGGACTTCCTGCTCAGGAATGACCCCCTGCACCGGCTCTCCACACCCCGGTTGTATGAAGCCGACCGCTCCTTCAGGGACAGGGAGCCTCATGATTATAGCCACCATCACCACCACCACCACCACCCGCTAGCTGTGGACCCTCGACGGGAACATGAACGGGGCGGACACCTAGATGAGCGCGAGCGGCTGCACGTGCTTCGGGAGGACTACGAGCACCCACGGTTGCACCCTGTGCACCCCGCTTCTCTGGATGGACACCTCCCACACCCGAGCCTGCTCACGCCAGGCCTGCCCAGTATGCACTACCCTCGCATCAGCCCTACTGCGGGCCACCAGAATGGACTGCTCAACAAGACCCCGCCCACCGCGGCACTCAGCGCCCCACCTCCGCTCATTTCCACACTGGGGGGCCGCCCAGGATCCCCCCGGAGGACTACGCCTCTGTCGGCTGAAATCCGAGAAAGGCCACCGTCCCACACACTGAAGGACATCGAAGCTCGATAAGTCAGGAGGACGAGGCAGACCTCAGAGTTGGGGAAAAAACCCCAGGGACACCCCCCAAGACTCAAAAGACAACTCCTGCACCCCCAGAATTGAGAGGTGCAGAGCTCCAACTCTTCCCCTTGGAAAAAAAATGGACAGAGACTCCGTTTGGGTGTTGAAATGTTTTGTATATTAATGTTGGGATTTTTCAGACCTTTTAGCCAGTCCTGTTTGTCCTTACATCTCCTTACTTTTTTTTTAATTTTGTTGTTCTTTGCATCAAATTTTGATTTGAACCAAAACGGTGAAGGTAATGACACACAAGGATCTGATGCTATGGGGGTGAGGGGCACCCGTCCATCACCCAGAGCTGTCCCAGAGGAGGAGGCGTGTACATAGAGTGTAAAAAGAGATTGCTTCATGAGCTGACGGTTCATATATGCAAAAGATAAAGACGAAAGCTTTACTTGTACAGATGTAAATAGGTAAAGATTAAGTAACATAATACATTAATACTTCTTCAAATGTGCTATTTACAAGTCTAATATCCGTGAACTCGGCCCTCCAAGGAGGCCCTGTTCCCATCTGCTAAACCCTTCAACTATGCAATGAACACGAGGGCTTTCCCCCAAAGCCCATAAATCTCAAAGGAGCCTTTTCAAATCCATTTACAACATATTTAAGGTCATATTTTCCCTGAACAAGCGCTTACCTGAGATGTTATACAACTGTTTCCCCCCTCCCCCCCCCCCCGTTTGTTTTTCTGTTTTTCAGATGGAGCGAACATGCCTCCCCCCCCCCCCCCCCCTTTTTTTTTTCTTTAAATCCAGAGCCCAGGCTAGAACTTCGCATCTGAAGTTGCTGCTTGTGGTCGTCTTCCCTGGAGAAATGGGGAAAGGTGCACCCGCCCCCTTACGCCCCTCTGGAAGTGTAAGCCAAAAGCAGCTTTGCCCAGGGAAGATGGGATTAGTCTTTGATAATCAGAGGCAGATGGGCCATGTCTGCCAGGCGCAGACAGGTCACCAGAATTTCTGGTCACCCCTGAGGCCGTGAGGTTGCAGGCAACTTTAAGTGGGAACCTCGCCTTTCCCACCCTCCACCCCGAGTCCTATCGCATAGCATGTACACACTTCCTCGTTCATAATGTGATTTACGGACACTCACCACAGATCCTGAAAGAAAGCCGTCCGGGTTGTCTTCGCGGATGTACCGGTATGCTTCCACGGTAACTGCCAAATTGAAGGTACCCGGAGCGCAATGTGAATCGCTGGTATTCCAACAGGAAATGGAAGCCTGGGAAGAGCTGAACAAGTAGATTGTGTAAGAGCCATCAGGAATTACCGAGGGCGAAAGGTGGCAGAAGTGTGCGCGTGAGTGTGTGTGTTTGTGTGTGCACGCGCACGTGCGTGCGTGCGCATGCGCGCGTTCTTGTGCCAGCGTGTGAGTGCCTGTGTGCTCTTGTGCAAGTGTGTGCACTCGTGTGTATGTGTGTGTATGTTGAGTTTTCATCAGTCTTAATGTCTTCATGACAATTTTATAAAGACATTAACCCTCTTGTCTACATATTTGGAGAGAATATGACTTTACTAGCCGAGAAAATACAATATATCTTGTCTACTGGCCTGTAAAATACATGTAAGAAATAAAGATTAGTCCCATTTGGTCCTCTAGTATATTAAAGTGCTACCTGACATTGTTACCCTGTTTGTTTGTTTTTTTCCAAAAAAGAAAAAAAAATTGTAAACTACAGACCATTGTTTTTAAAAGCAGAGAGATCTATTTTAGTAGGCAACTGAAGGTTTAGTTGTGAATTCAGATTTTGTGGACACCAGACGTGTGCAGTGTTTTCTTTCTTTTTCTTTTTTTCTGTTTTGTTTCATTTTTTTAAGATAACAACTAAAAGAAAAAAAAACCTCCCCAGGATTCTGTGCACTGGAAACCGTAGTGGTAGCTCTCAGCATTGTAAAGGGGTTTCTCTGTACAGGCCTTTTGCTGTTTCTCTTGTATGTAAAAAAAAAAAAAAAAAAAAAAAAGGAAAAAAAGAAAAAAAAATTAAGTCCTTTCCGGATCCTACTCGAACAGGAAGGGAAGCAACGGAATCTTTAGCATGTCTCATTGGAGGAGCCTCCGTGTGTAATGTAAGTGTGCCATGTTATTAAAAAATGTGAACCAAGTTTCCAGAGTTTCTTTGTGCGAGGTGCCACTCACAGTTAGGAAAGAAGCCTCCGGCACTCTAGGCCGAGTTCTAGAAAAGACTCCCCCACCCCCCACCCCTGGCCTTGCATCCCCCAGGGCCAGAATAGTAGGGTCCTCTCACCCTCCCAAAACAGCAACTGGTCCAGCATCCTTTGGCCATGGCGCATCTGTTTATGTGTTCGCTTTGTATGTTCTGAATAAAAGAAATATCCCTAGGGAACCGGTTGTAGCTCAGTCGGAAGAATCTTCACCTAGCAGGCATGAAGCCCTGAGGTCCACCCCCAGCACTGAAGAAATCGGATGTGGTGCATACCTGTTATCCTAGGATTGCGGAGGCGGAGGCAGAAGGACTAGAAATTCCAGGTCTTGACCAGTGAGGGGGCTCAGCAGGATAAAGCATTTGCCGTCACACCCTACAATTTGAGTTTCATCACAAGCCCCCCCCCCCCCCCTCTCTCTCTCTCTCTCTCTCTCTCTCTCTCTCTCTCTCACACACACACACACACACACACACACACACACATTGGTTTTTACAGTTCACGGTCATCCATAAGGCCAGTCTGGCCTACATGAGACGCTGTCTGAAAGAAAGAGGCAGGGTAAACTTCCATATTTTAGACTGTTAGAAGTTGGCCTGGGAGGTCGCTGGAGGGCAGGATAAAGTCACTGACCGCTGACTTTGACTCCCTGAGTTCTGTCTCACATGACAGGCCCCTGTAGTAGGAGAGAACTCCTAAAAGCTGTCCTCTGACCTCCACGTGTGTGCCCCCACACACATGCGTACATATGTACAAACATGCAAAGTAAATGTAACTTTTCATTTAAACCTGCTAAATTCACTGTTTGGATTAAGGTTTGTAGCACACTGGAGAAACAAACACTCAAGGTCAGTTGGGACGAGGTGCTGGTAAACTTTGGACACAATACAGAACAGAAATCAGGGAGGCCCTAAGGTAATGGTTCTCAACCTTCCTAATGCGACCGTTTCCTTCGTGACACCCCACACCGTAAAATTGTTTCATTGCTACTTAGTAACTGTAATCTTGCTGCTGTTAGGAACCATAGTGTATCTGACATACAGGATATCTGATATTCGACCCCTGTAATACCCAAACGGGTCCCGGCCCATAGGTTGAGAACCATTGCTGTATGGCCTCCCAAGGTGCTGCCACCGTGCTCTTGGAAAGGTCTAGGGACCTGTGACAGGACTCCTGGTTGGGGGAGGGTCACAAGGGAGCCCACAGGCTTAACCAAGCTGAGCTGGGAGAATGGAGAGATGAATCAGCCCTTAAGAGCACTTGATGTTCTTACAAATCACGTGTAACTCCAGCTCCTAGGGACTCCACATACTCTTCTGACATCCAAGAGCGAATGTACCTGCATGTGTATCTGTGTGCTTAGCGCCCCCCTCCCCCACCACCACACACACAAATAAGATAAATCCAAAATAAACCAACCTGGGGACGTATCTCAGTGGCAGAGGACATTGCAGGAGAAAAAAACAAAAAAATCCAACAACCCCTAAACCTAAAAGGGTCAGAGCAACAGTTGGGTAAAGTCCACTTGGCTGAGCATCATTTGATAGCTAGAGGAACTGCCAGGGGGGAAAAAAAGCCAACAACGGGAAGAAAAGAAAACCAGTGAGTTGAAATACACCAAATCCCGGGCTTTGCTGAAGCTAGTACCACAGACGTCACAGACAGTCTTTGACAGGCTATTTCCGGCAGACCTGTCCACCTATTTCAGTATCACCATCTGCAGAGTCAGATCCTGGAAGAGTCGCTCTCCAATCAGTCATGGTGGCTGATCCCCGCGGGCTTTGATTCAGCTCAACCTTTGCATATTTCCCCTCTAATTACATTGGGCGCCTCAGCATTGATGGGTACCGGCACCAATTTGATTTCCTGCTACCCTCTGGATGCTCTAATTATCTCCACCATCTCTGACTGACAATGATCTTGTTACCTTCTAATGGTACATGACAGGTGAAATAGCGAATATAATGATGCGATAATTACCGCCCTGGATGGATATTTGTGATGGTGGTAGCTGTGCATCCCTTCTCTGCCTCAATCAAGGCGGAAGGGGGAAAAGAAGATGCAATTGTTGACGGCCTGGATGTACAGCGCATAAAAAGTGGGGGGAGAGAGAGAATTCTGTGGTGCAGTTAGCCAAGACCTCTCTCCTGTTTGACTTCATATTGGAAAACAAGATAGGCCTCTGTGGCGATAATGAAGCTGAAAGAGAAGGGATAATATGAGCAGGGTGCTGTGTGTGTGTGTGTGTGTGTGTGTGTGTGTGTGTGTGTGTGTTTAAATTCTCGACATTCTTTGTGCACTTTTGAAGAATTTATAAACTGTAAGATATTTGCCAGAACACAATTGGTTCTTGATCAGGAGCTGGGGAGGATCTCTGTCGATAGAGAGCGCTGTGTTCATCCCCAGTTCTGAATAAACACTGAGGGGTAGTACACGCCATCATCTCAGGACTCAGAAGGCTGCGGCAGGAGGATAAGAAGTTCAAAGTTGTCCTTGACTACATATCAAGTTTGAGGCCAGCTTGGGCTACATGAAATCCTGTCCAAAAAAAACAAAAACCAAAACAACAACAACAAAAAACCCCACAACTTCTTCCTGTCATTGCACAGTATGAAGCTGTTGATCTTCTTTGGTTGTCTTCACAGGTACCAAGCCAAAGTTGTCATATCTCAGGTAGAAAGTGCTAGAAGCTTCTGATGAAAGGTACAGTGGGAAGAAGCCCTTGAGACAGCATTGACAGTCTAGCTTTGCCTACCTGTGTCCTTAGCAACCCGAGAAAACCCAGAACCTCTCTAGATCTCAGTTTTTCTATCGCCTGCCCATCTCCAACTGCCTGTACTGGTGACCTACGGCCTGGAATGTGCTAGGCAAATGCCCCAAACAACTGAGCCATGCCCCAGCCCTTTGCAGGGCGAGGGGAATTCTAGGCAGGTGCTCTACCACTGAACCACACCCTAGCCCCTCACTGGGGGATTCTAGGCAGGTGCTCTACCACTGAGCCACACCCCAGCCCCTCACTGGGGGATTCTAGGCAGGTGCTCTACCACTGAACCACACCCCAGCCCCTCACTGGGGGATTCTAGGCAGGTGCTCTACCACTGAACCACACCCCAGTCCCTCACTGGGGGATTCTAGGCAGGTGCTCTACCACTGAACCACACCCCAGTCCCTCACTGGGGGATTCTAGGCAGGGGCTCTACCACTAAGCCACACCCCAGTCCCTCACTGGGGGATTCTAGGCAGGGGCTCTACCACTGAACCACACCCCAGTCCCTCACTGGGGGATTCTAGGCAGGGGCTCTACCACTGAGCCACACCCCAGTCCCTCACTGGGGGATTCTAGGCAGGGGCTCTACCACTGAGCCACACCCCAGTCCCTCACTGGGGGATTCTAGGCAGGGGCTCTACCACTGAGCCATACCCCAGTCCCTCACTGGGGGATTCTAGGCAGGTGCTCTACCACTGAGCTACACCCCAGTCCCTCACTGGGGGATTCTAGGCAGGTGCTCTACCACTGAGCCATACCCCAGTCCCTCACTGG